CTTTATTGCCTGAGTTCAATCCCTGGCGAGGAAGCAGACCCACAGACTGCTCCTGTCTCACCAGCTGCTCCCCTTACCAGTGTATTTCAGTAAATTCACCTGTTCTGCATCACACTCTTGTCTCTGATGAATCCTCTCACTCCCACCTCTCCGCACCTCTGGACTACACCCCTGTTCTTCTATGCAAAAATTATAAAAAAAAAATAGAGAGTTCATGGAAAAAGTCTTTCAGATAACAGAGTAGATACAAAGGTCTGCTGCAGTGTTCCTTGTAGCAAGATGGTGTGTGAAATCACTGCAATCAAATGTGAGTGTTTTGTGTAGGATCCAAGGAGAGGTTCTTGCATTCATCAGTGTCCAAGTTGGTTGGGTCCCTTCAAAAGAAGTTAAGAATCACTGCTCTAAGGTCTCATAGAACAGAAAAAAAAAAATATGACACTCAAAAGTTATGTAATTTATACAAAGAAAAAATTAGCTAATAACTTTAGAAAAATTAGTTTTAGAAAAAAAGTTAATAAGTTAGCTGGCTCAGGAAAGAAGGAGTAGTATCTCATATCTTCCTTTTACTCTCCATACCTTGCCATTCATTAATTTTTTCATTTTGCCTACAAAATTTTGAGCACCTATAATGTGCCAGAAGCTGTTGGAGGAGTGGGAAAGAAGGGTCATGACAAATCGATCTAAATGACCGTTTCCAGCTTACATGCTATTGAAATATGGTGAAGGCATACAAGTTAATAGATAAACCAGTTTCTAATTTTGAAAAGTGCAGTGAAAACTGAGGGATAGTCAGAATCCTTTATGACCCATTCAGTCCATTCTCAGCCAGTCACAGATGAACAGGGCACTATTTTCTTTTTTTAAAAATTGATCTATGCATGCAAGAAATGAGTGGAGGCCAGAGGTGTGGAGGGGAGGGTAAGGATTCCAGAGACAAAGTAGGAAACAGAACAAGCAGATCCACTGAAATACCCTGCTGAGGGGAGCAGTGGGCAAGACAGAAGACGTCTGCAGCACCATGTGGGTCAGCTCCCTGGCTGGGATCAAATTCATGCCTCAATGGCTGGCAGCAGCTTGACAGCACTGAGACTTGAACCCCTGTGCCAGCAGGGAGGCCCAGAACAGTACACTATTCGAGGAGAGGCCTAGAGTCTCTGCCATGCCAGGCCACGACCCTTAGTTGTTGGATCATGTCTCCCCACCTTAGAAGGGGTTTCCTGGGGGATAGGGAATGCTAAGCATTGTAGGGCACCTCCTGGAGGTTTGAGGAAGTGGCTGGTTACCAATTAGTACAAAAACATGTCACTATTCTAACAGCCAGTAACTGTAGTGGTGTTAACCGCTGGAGTCCTAATGACTGTAGATGGGCAAAGGACACACAAAAAAGCATCTATAGATAGTAACATTAGAGAAGTCTTTTTATGAGAGGAGACATTTTAGCTAATACCATATTGACAAGAAAGAGAAATTCAAGAAGTTAGGCAGCTGATGAGGGATGGAAAGAATATTCTAGTCAAAGAATAGCAAAGGTGTTAAGGTGCATCAAACTTAACATATTTATAGAATAGCAAGAAAGTTGATGTTGCTGAAATATCATGCTAAGTGGATGATAAGACAGTAGGTCAGATGAGAGGCACAGGCCATATCTTATAGGGCCTTTTAGGAATGAGAAGTAATGAGACGGAGGACTTTAAGCAGGCAGGAAAGAATGTGATTTACATTTAAAACAAAATTATTCTGGGCCCTCCCTGGTGGCACATTGGGTTAAAGCACAGCACGAATGAAGCTAAAGCCACCTGAGCATGGGTTCGATCCCAGCCTCAGATGTGATACACATGGCACGGCAGACCTCTCCTGACCCGCCCCCTGCTCCCCTCAGCAGTGTACTTCATCAGTTGGCCTGTTCTGCTCCCCACTTTGTCTCTGGTGAATTCACTCACTGCCCCTGCACTCTGGCCTGTACCCCAGTTCTGTATGCATAAATAAAAATTTAAAAAATTTATTCTGGCTGCAGTAAGGAGAATAGTTTGTAGGGAGAGAATATTGAAGAGCTTATTTGAGCCAAAAAAAAAAAAAAAAATCAATGACCGCCTGGACTGGAGCAACAGCAGTAGAAATGGAGAAAAGTTGGCTAATTTCAGATTTGGAAGTTGGAGTGGTTTTAAAGATATATCCACACATTCTTTGATACACCTTCTCTTGAGCAGTGGATCTTAATTCCTCTCCCCTTGAATGTGGGCTGGAATTAGTTTTTTGCTTCTATCAAAGAAAATGTGCTATAAGTTAGTGGGTGCCACTTTTGAGAGAGAGGCTATTCAAAGATTATGTTTTGCATTTTGGGGACATGCTTTCTTGCTCTTTTAGACTTAACTTTGAACAAAATTAGTTACCTTGTCATGCTGCATCTCTGTGGTGAGACTTAGCAAGAACTGAAGCCCACTAAGTACTATTTAAGTGATCTTAGGATCCACTCCATTGCACTCTACTTCAGTCTTCCGATAAGACTATGGCTGTATGAGTCCCCAGATTCCTCAAGTTTCCCCAGAGAAACAGAACTAAAAGTGTGTATGTAGACACATAAAGGGGTAATTCATTTTGGGAAATGGTTTGTGTGAGTATAGAGCTTTAACTACACACCAATATGCAGTGGGTAGGTTGGAGAGTCAGGAAAACTGGTAGTATGATACATACCAGAAGCATAAGAACCTGACGTTTTGATGTCCCAGGGCAGAAGATGCATGTCCTGGCTGAGAGAGATTGAGAGAGAGAGGCATGAAAGAAAGAGAGAAAGAGAGAGATAAGAGAGAGAGTGTGTGTGTGTGAGAAAGATCGATTCTCCTTTTATCAGACTTATTATTTTGTCAGCCTTATTCTATTCAGACCCGCAACAGATTGGACAAGGACGATCCATACCAGTGAGGGTTAGTTTTCTTTACTTGGTCTACTGATTTAAACGTTAATCCCTTCTATGAAACACGCTGACAGGCACACCCAGAAATAATGTTTTACTGTTCATCTGGTCAGTAGTTAATCAGCCTGGTGAAGTTGACACATAAAATAACCATAACAGTCCCTCCCTGGTGGTGCAGCAGGTTAAAGCACAACACTAAGAAGCTGAAACCGCTTCCATATGAGTTCAATTCCCACCTGCCCCGGAGGTGACCACATGGCGTGGCAGAACTCTCCTGACCCGCCCACTGCTCCCCTCAGCAGTGTACTTCATCAGTCTGCCTGTTCTGTTCCCCACTCTGTCTCTGTAGCGACCTGTGACTGATACGGTTAAAAGTTGAGTGTGATTACAGCAGAGAAGTAACCACTGGATTTGATAACAAGATGGTGGAGGTGTTTAATAAGAGAAAATTCTACAGTCAAGTAGAACACAAAGTAATTTCAAATGGGTTAAGCAAAAAATGGCAGAATGGAGATGATCCTTAAAGTTAGCTCATGAACAAACTAACACTTTCTTAAGTTCAAGAGCAGCGAGTAAGGAATGTGGGCAGGGTTCCTCAGGTCAATTATTCCACTCCACCTAGTGCCAATGAGGGTTCAAGGCTTCATTCCTAGGTCTGCTTCCTTGGTGGAAAATGCTGGTCAGAGAGCTGCCTTGTCTGTCCTCTTTCCTCACATATGTGCAGACTTTCTCATGTGGACTCTCAAAGTGGGGTGATCTAATTTATCCTGCAGGAATTAGAGGGGTTAGAACAAGTGTTCCAAATGTAAAGAAGTAGAAACTATTGGTCTCTAAGCCTGTGCCTTCAAACTTGCAAAACATGCAAACATGCAAAACTATATTTCATGCATGAGATCATTCACAGAGCCAGCCTCACCTTGAGAAGAGAGTCCTGGACCCTTCTGAGTGGAGGGAATAATAAATAATTTGTGGCCATCATTAATCTGCTACAAGAGGTAGTAAAATGGAAGCAGTGACCATTAGCGAATATTTCAAAGGGATTTTTTTTTTTTTGCCCCAGACTAGAGGAGTAGGAAAAGCAGACAGTTGTTAGTCTGTAGAGTCCAAGTATTTTCTCCAGAAAACTGAATTATAATGATGACAATATTCCAGAAAAGAAGACAACATAGATATTGTCAGAAAGAAAAGTTATAATGGGACCAAAATCCTTGAGAAGGAAAAACACCCAGAACAAAGGAAAGGCTGACTTTTAGTGAGGTTAGGGGGATTACAACCAAGGTGGGAAAAGGTACAAATGAAGAGTGATGTAAAAATAAATTTAAAAACAAAAATATAAAAGAGGAGAAAAGGGAGAGGTGTGAGTAGAGGCACCTCCAGCAGGCTTCTGACTCAGATGCCCCCCCCTACTGGTGAGGCCTTCCTTGACATCCCTTTCTTCCACGGCACCCCCAGTACTAACTCCTCTCCCCACTTTATTCCCCAGACAGCTGGCACACTAGACATGCAGGCATGCTTTGTGTATGGCACTATAAGCAGGCACTCAATAAATACAGTAGAGTACCTGGATGAACACAGGGATCTACCTGAGGGAGCTTTAGGGTCAGGAATGGAGCTGAGGGAATGAGAAGCTGGAAATCCAGATGTCTGAAGGTGACACACAGAGGTGACGTGGAGAGAATAAAGTCAGGTCTTAGGGGTTCCAATCATAGCCCTCTCTTCCTTTCCTGCCTCCTCTGGCTGAGTTCCAGGGATCAAGTTACTGAACTCTTCTGAGCCACAAGGATTAGGACCCTGTTGGTGCAAAGGGTGTGTTCATCAAATCTTGGTTCTTTCCCACGATTCTATTTTCGCCAACCTGTTTGTCACTCCTTTCTTGCTCCATCCAGGCAGCTGCTCCCTGTGTCCTCTATGTAAAGTCCGGTGAGTACACAGCAACGGGCCCCAGGCACTGACCAGAGTCCTTGCGCACCTGTGGGGAGGGCGGCACCCCGGGGGGGGGGGCGGGGTGAAGCTGGCCAATCCTGGGGCTGCTGAGCAAGTCTGGGCTGCAGGCAGGTAGTGTGTCCAGGTCAGTGTGTGGGTCGTCTGAGGCCATGGCGAAGCTAGTGGTGCTCACCCTCCTGGGACTGGCGCTCGCAGCCTTCAGGGAACACCGGTCTTCTTACCAGTAAGTGGGGTTGTATTGAGGGCTGCAGCCCTGTCTTTCCCACCCCACCCCTCCAAACCGACCCTTACCCCCACCTTCCTTCCTCCTCCCTGAGTTCAGGAGTGTCCCACCTCCAAAGTGGGGTTTGGATTTCATAAATGTTTGTCCAACTTCCCCACACACTGGAAAACATATCCTTCTTCATGGCCTAAGAGCTAGGCCATGGCGACAGTACTCAGTGAGCAAGTTGTTGACAAACATATTAATTTTCCAAGATGATCTAACCCAGGAGTCTCAGCCAGAGTCACTTCTCAACCCCTCTTCCAAACAGAGAAGCAGACTGGTAGTCGCCTAGTCGCACAGCTTAAGAGGAAGGAGCCCTGGACTGGGCTACCTGGCCTTGGCATAAGCCTTCCCTGCCTGGACTCCCCTGGGGGCTGCACGGAGAGGCAGGGAGCTGCTTGGGAGCAGTACAGGGGAGCACATGAGCCCTGATCCAGCCCCAGTTGGGGTTTGTCCTGGCGCTGGCCTTTGAAATCCGGGTTTTTGCTCTGCCCCTTCCATTGTGGCATCTTGGACAAAGGATTTTGCATCTGTCCAGTTAGCTATCAGTGAACCTGAAGCAGTAATAGACATTAATGCAATTAACACTGTGCCTGGGATGTAGGACAGATTGAGTGGCTGTCAGTGTCCTGTCTCCCTTAAAATATGGTACTAACCATTCCAAGTTTTTAAAGAAAATATCAGTATTTTCATGATTACCTTTTATAGGAGTTCAAAGTCTAGTGATCATCCCAATCCCTAAGGTTTAGTCAATAATATCTTATCATTTACTTTGAAGTAAAACATTGCTAAAAATCAAGTTGAACATTTTGGATCTTTGAAATAGCTATAAAGGCCCTAGAGACTGAGAGCAGCTATTGTTCATATTTTTTTTAAAAAAAATAAATAGCTGGGGTTTGTTCTTGTAATTGTTCATTATATTTGAAATCACAACTTGCTAGAAAAAGTGAAAAGCAATTTATCTGGGATTTTAAATCACATCAAAATTAGTTTGTGGATGTTCATGAATTATGGTACTGTTTGCTAGTCCAGGAGATTATATATAGCATCTTTCGAATATAGTTTTTGCTACAATGTGCATGTGGGTTGTAGGATGAAAAGAAATGAGTCACAAGGTCTGAGCTCTGGTCTAAGCTTTCTCCTCTATTTCCCCAATTCCTTCTGTATCTGGGCATGATCCACCCACGCTCCAGTTGCCCCTCACTGAGATGTCGTGCAAAACACAACAGATAGACCAGGAAGAGGCAAGCACCTAGCCCTCTGGATTACCTTCCTTAACTTGCTGTAGGAATGAGACTGCAGGCATCTTGCATATGTTTTGTGTAAAAGTACAGCGTTATTATTCCTGCCCTAAAAGTTTCTTTCATGACTGTTAGCCTATTTTATTCAGCATTATTATTTCCCTAAGTCTATTCGTCTGAACTTGAACTGCAAGGCTTGCTTCCTAAGAAATGGGTTCCTTGGGTATTTCAAATTGAGACATGTCTAGTAGTGCCTTCTCCTAGAGATTGGCAGAGTACAACAAAAGCTTTGAAAAGTCCTTTCAGTTAAAAAAAAAAAAATCTCTTTAAGTCAACATTTCACAGACTCCTCTGTCCACATCCTCTGCTTCACTTTCTGGTACCACCTATGATATCTGTCTAACCTTCCGGGATTAGGACAGTTTAGGACAATTGTCCAGTTTCGGACAATCTATTGTATGCCACTGACTTGCATCAAGACTTAGATTTCAACTTTTAGAAGTTGGGTCCTGGCCTTGCTCAGGGGTGAAAGTTCACATATAGAAACACAGCACATGGTCAAATGGAAACAGTTGTGTATCCAAGTCTCATTCTGATTTTCTTGAGAATGACCTAAGCACACTCTATTCACAGCCGAATACAATGTCAGCCTCTGCAAGTCCTTGTCTTAGGGCTCCCTTGGTGGTGGCTTTTGTTCCTTTTTGGGGTTTGCCTGTGGTCTCCCTGTATGCATTGAGTGTGCAAGAGATGTTTGTCATAGGGACACTGCTGTGGGAAGACCTGGAGTCTGGTTTGCAAATCAGAGTTCACTGCTTTACTTTCAGCATCTAAGTGCAGCAAGTGAGGTGGGAGCCACAGCCCTCCAAATCTTAACTGTAATCAGATGATTGAGAAGGGAAAAGGAAAGCGGGCGTAGGATAAATCTCTGGATAAGAATGGAAAGGAGGGTAGGAAGACCACAGCAGAGCAGGAGCAATGCAGGCTGAGAGGATCCTTGTTGCAGAGAGGAGCTTGATGGAGGCTGAGGCGGCTGGAGCAGCCCACTGTGCAAAGGCTCTAAGTATTGCTACTCAGAGGCACCGGGAGCAGCCTGGGAGCATCGCCTGGGAGCTCCTTGCATCTCAGGACCCCAGACCACATCCCACACCATTAAGTCAGCCTGCATTTCTTAGCAAGCTTGCCATGGGATTTGCATGAGCCTATAAAGAACATTGAAATACTGCAACACCCACACTGGAAACTGATTAAGAGCTCCTAAGGGATCAGTAAATTACTTTCAGCCTCATTTTTGAGATAAGGGCCCCAAGTCCCAGACTGCTTCCTTTATTTAGAGGAGACCCTGCAAAACTAGTGTCAGGCCTCTGTATGCATTTCTGTTACCCCCATACCCACTCCCATTTCTCCTCCAAGAAACACAATGTAATGGGAAAAAAGCAGGGGTGAACTTCAGCATCCCTAGGTTGGAACTCCTTTCTACAGCTTTCAAGCCACACCATTAGGGCCTGATTCACCATCTATAAATTATAGGATGATAATACATATCACAGTAGGATCTGTCTGTCTGTCTATCCCGGTGCAGGAAAGATAGTCTTTAAATGTTAGATTTTGTCATTGCCATATGCTCTCTCAAAAGTCCACCTATGAATGTTCCACCTAATAAGTGATTCCAGAATATGCATTATGATATGTTGAAATCTCACTGAAGCCCTAGGTTAAGGATGGATAATTCTCAGATACCCCATCAATACACCATCTCCTCAATCTGAGGCGCCACTGTAGTAATTTTGTAAAACAATACAGGAGACATTTCTAGATTACCTCCCTTTTCTCTGTTTATGCTGGCAGTCACAGGAATGAGTAGGATGTAGTACTCCTCAAAGATTTCAGGGTTTACTATAAGCAAGAAGAGCAAAAGCTGACAATTGCAAAACAACTGGTAAAGAGACTTGACAGATGTACATGTCAAAGGTCCATGAAAAGAATGAAGGCATCATTAGCCCTGTCACAGAAGACCAGGAAGAGCTACAGAACATCATGAGTAGATGGTCTTCCCAGTGGGTTAGCAAGTAGTAAGCATTCAAGGCAGATAGAGAAACATGAGCAAATTTACAAACATAAACAAAAACATAGAGAAAGAACCTTTGACATCATGACACCTAATTTCAAATCCTAGCTCTGTTCTTTAAATAAGACACCACAAGCCAAGTACTTACTACTCCATGCCTCAGTTTCCTTACCTATGAAAGAAGTAAAATATTAATCCTTGTCCCAAAGTCGCTACAGAGATGAAGCAAGTCTGTGTGTTTGCCCTAGCAACACAGCAGCCCCCAACACTGAATACTGAATTAAGGAAGAGTGCAGTGCCAGCACAGAAATGGACAAAGTTAAAAATTGCACCAAAAAAAAAAAAAGCTTCAAAAGGGATTTCTTAATGCATAGTTAAAGATCATCAATTTCTTTTATAAAGAGCCAGCATGTATTTGCAAAGAACAATTCACAGCAGGGATTGTGCAATTCTGGCCAGAGACAGGAGCCTGGGACATATCTCAGACATTGAACTTTATCCCTTAATCCTGGAACACTGAAATTTAATAAAGCCCACAACAAGATATTTTCTTATAATTGAGAATAAGAAAATATGAGCAGGAATAAAGGAAAACAGCTAGAATTGTCTTCTGATGACTCCTCCAGCTGTAAAGTAGTGCTATCTATCAATATTTGTGCTGGCTAGAGAACAGCAATCATACCTGTGTTCTAATCCTAACTCAGCCACTCCATAGCTCTGTGACCTGGGAAAGGCATTTGATCCCAGTCATTTATAAAACAGAAAAATTACTGCAGGGAGGCATCTGAGGATTAACCGAGGGTACACACAGTACTTAAATAAACTTAAACAGCAGCACTTAGCAATTTACCCTGTCCTGATAGGATTTGTTTGGCCACAAATTTGAGCTTAAAGGAATTGACTATTCAAGGTTGCCTTACCTACCCTGGAACTCCCTATAACTGTAATTATTCTACCTGTTATATGTTAGATATCAGTTTCCATAAGAAAGAATCCCTCACTTTTCTCTGCCCTGTATGAACCCATCATGTTAATGAACCTTTGCAAGTCAGCCTGCACACATGCTTCCCTTGTGATTTTTGACTCTATTAAAAGCCCATCTGGCTACCTGTGGCATTTTTCACAGGTCCTGACCCACTCAGCAATTTCATATCCTTGGTTAGCTTCTGAACCACTCTTTGTATTGGCTGTGGTTATGACCTTAGCTACAATATCTTGTACCCGTCCTTTGAGTTCTTTGAGTCACTTGATGAATATTCACAGGGCTTTCTCTATACAAGTGCTTTTCAAAATGGTGGGCCACAAAATGAATTTAGTAAGTAGGCTGTGAATACCAATTTTAATAAATGGAATAAAATTGAATAGGAAAGTTAAGAATGTATTGCACACATCAGAATGGGTTTTTGTGTGTGTGTGTGTGTATGTGTGTACCTTGCTTCATGTGGTAATTGTGTGTGGGCCTGTGTGCTCCTGCCATATGAAATGCTTTTTCTCATTTGGGTCTCAGTTTGAAAAGCTTAAAAGTCACTCACTGCTCAATCACTTCCTCTTGTAATTCTTTCTTGTGAACTTTTGTGATGATAATGTCAGATGTCCTTTTTTTAAAATATATTTTAGTTTCTCGGGTCACGGGAAAGATCCCAGTTTTCTTTTGAAGTCTGCTTCAAAAGAAAGTCTGCTTCTTCATCAGGAGCCCACCATCTTGAGGTCGACCAAGCCTTCCTCATCTCTGTGTCTCAGTACCTAGAGTTCACCACTCCAGTCACGTGTCCAGATGAACTGTGGATACTGATGGAGGATATTACAAACCCTTTCCCCAGCATTTTAGGGCAGCCCTAATGGAAGGTGAAATTGAAAGCCAGGGGCCTGGTAAGAGGAGCAACCTACAATTTCCCTTTAAGAAATACATGAAAGATAAATCACCCCCCGGGTTCCTAACAATGTGTACCAAGTTGGTAAGAATTTTATCCAAGGTGTCCATTCACCTCTCATTCATCTTCCCTCTGTGAGACTAAATTATCACTAAGTTAAAAATTTTCAACCTCTCAACTTTAGCCAAATAATATTCTAGAGACTTCTGGGTAATTGTGGCTATTAGCTTTAAGTAGATTGTATCGTTGATTCTCAAAAAATATTTACCAACTAAATCTCTGGGCTGTGCTGATGTTGTGGTCCATTTCTTTCAAATGCCTCATCTATAGCTTTGCTCTGAGCATCAGTGGCTGGTGTTCCTTTTTCACATCTGTTCTTCACTCAAATGCTTCCCAGGATATTTATGCCCTCAGATTGTGTGTGTGTGTGTGTGTGTGTGTATGTGTGAAATGCCTTTTTACATTTCAGCCTTGCGTATGAGTTTTTGAAGTTCTAAGTCCTTTAAGCACACCTGCATTTTTCAAGTACCACCCCTGACAGCAGATGCCCAGCCAGGCTTTGGAGACACACTGGGCAGATGGGCAGCAGGCCCATCTGTCAATAGCCCTAAAACATCAATGGAATAAATTGGAACCATGTTGCTATTTAACCCAAATTTCCACATAGGACTCCTTACATAGCTGATGAAATAGTTCCCATCTCTGCCAAAGTGCACAGAGCCCTGGAGAGGACACTTCATATCTCCTTTGTATATTTACCCATGTCTGATAAATAAACACTGCAGTGCCCCAAGGCCCCCTGTGTCTTGCTCTGGCCTTGTCTGGTAGAACTGACTGAATACCAAGGACTTCTAACCTTGGGTTGAAACTCAGAACAAGGACACTTAAAGAGGATGGTATTGGCAGTGACTTTCACCATTTAATTATAATTTCTGAATAGTTTTATGTGTATTTTATGCTTTTTTTCTCTTCCAGAACACGATTTAATGCTTTCCGAGAAGTAAAACCTGTAGACCTTCCTAGGTGTAATTTAATTAAAGGAATAGGTAAGTATATGAGAGGAAGATGTGTCTCATTTGAACCTGTAGTATCATCTTGCTATTTATTTAGTTAATATGCTGATTTAATTGTGTTAAAAATAAAATAACTTTAATCCAAGACAGTATTAATTCAGCAGTTAATTGTAAATGTCAAGTTACTTGACTTCTGACTTCACCCAATATACATTTGACTCTAACAGAGCCAAATATCGATCATCAATTTTTTTCTATGGTTTGTTTGATTTTGCTTGTCAGGTTTACTAAAACAATAGTCAGAACATGTCTGGTTTTATGGTAAAAATAACCTAAGGAAACATCAGAAGAGGGACAGAAAGGTAGAAAAAACAGTGAGTAAAAGGTCAAAGTTTTAAAAGCCAATACACACCTTTACAATTACCCCAAAGTTTCTCCCCATGTATTTCTCTGTTAATATCAGATTAGAAAAAATTTCCCAAACGTTCTCAGTAGATTTCCCCTTAGAACTCATTAGTCACCTTTAGACAAGAGACTGGTGCCCTAGCTGCATAGGACACTGGGAAAGTAATTATTGGTCCTCCATTGTGGGAGGTAGCCCTGTCAACAAAGATGAAAGGGTGGGAGAATAATAGCAGCTTAGATACCACCAACAGGGCATCTAAGCACTGCCCAGCTCAAGTATCCATGTCGATTCAACCAACCAGCTTTGCTATTTGAGGACAACTTATTAGAGATCTGTACTTTTGTTACATTTTAAGGATTTTAAAAAATTATTTATCTCCAATGACAATCATTGGAATAAGATGACTTATTCAATCAGCATTAAGAAACTTGGCCAGATATTTTACAGTACAATCTTTTTTTTTCTAGGAAACAAATAAAACAGTGATGTTAAGTATCACTCCGTAGTTGAAAAAAAAAAAAAAATGAACATCTCCACTAACACAAAATCAACAAATTTAATGTGTCTAGATTGAATGAATTTTTTTTAAGTGTACATGGGCTTAAAGTGTAACTAATAGGGTGATATTTTAATGATGTCTATAATTAATGTGAAGTAAATGTATGTTCTTGATCATATAAAATGTTTCCCCATTTTAATGAAAGCATTTGGAATTTGTTTATATTTCCAATATGGCCTTCAATGAGCTTAGCTGATTTGGAAATAAAAACAATCAATATATATTAGTAGCTTCACTCTGTATCTTTAAAAAAACAAAACTATTTTCAAATTCTCTTACCCATTGTACATTTTGTGAATTTCCATAAACTTTATATAAGAGATTTCAAATAATAAAAAAATTCTAGGGACCCTCCCTGGTGCCACAGTGGGTTAAAGCACAGCACTGAGAAGCTAAGGCCACTTCAGCATGAGTTCGATTCCTGCCTGCCCTGGAGGAGATCCACATGGCGAGGCAGACCTCTCCTAACCCCCCTGCCCCACGCTGTTCTCCTCAGCAGTGTACTTCCTTGATCTGCCTGTTCTGCTCCCAGCTCTGTCTCTGGTGAATCCTCTCACCCTCCGCATCTCTGGCCTGTACCCCAGTTCTGTACAAATAAATAAATAAATCTTTTTAAAAAAATTCTAGATAAAAAATTTAAAACAAATATTTTAAGTACAAAATTTAATCACCCTATTATTTTAATGCTTTTTAATTTTCATATTATCACATTAGGCAATTTGAGTAAATGAATAAGTGAATTATTCTGAGCTACCGAAGAAGAGCTAAATGTGTAGCCCCATTTTTTAGGTCAGAGTGATAAAGAAATGAATCATTAGCTTCCTGCAATTGTCTGAACAATCTGTACTCTGTTCTTTTCTGGTAGAAAATGGCTCGGAAGACTTGGAGATACTTCCTAATGGTCTGGCTTTCATCAGTACTGTAAGTGTTGCTTTCTATTTTCATGTGCCGAATTGTTTTCTAGGACCAACATTTAAGTCTTTGGTTTAAGCCTTCTATGTATCAGTGCCCACCTACTAACAAAATGAGAAGTCATTTGGCTCAAAAAACAAATTGCATACACCTTGACACTCATTTTCTAATCTTATGTGTGCTATGCATATTTGTCTTCTCTGTGTACACTGAACTCTCACACCACCTTACCTCCCCAAACAATTGTAGCAATTTGTTTCTGAGTCTAGTGAGTTCACAATGGTTTCCCATTTGACTATCTTGTAAGTATTTACTGGTCTATTCAAACATTTGCTGAATGGAACAGAGTTTATGTTTATATATATCTCCTCACTTGACACTTACATTTTTACCTCTTTTTTCCCCACACTTTGCCAGATCAGCCCTCTCATTTAAAAATTATCAATAGATCTTCCCACAATTTCCAAACTTTGAAGAGAATCCACTGTATTTACTAAAACTCTCCTGCATTCAAGTAACTGTGATTAAGTAATAGAGCTCAAGACAGAAGTCAACAACCTATTCTAGGATGCCGGAGTAGATAAGATACAGCATACACATCATTCAGCATTGAAAACTTTCACTGCCTGCTGGAATCTACTTAATGAATTCAGATTTCTATTTTGAAGATGGACAATGTTGGCACCCTCTACACCAGTGTCTTGTAAATGTGTTTTTTTTTAAGCCACAGAACTTGTATTTCAAGGAGAATCTTTTGCTCTCCAAAAGTCGACCATTCCTATGAAAACTTTACTAAGCCCCAAATGAAAACAATTACCATTAATTTATATGCCAGTCCATTTAAATTTGGGGGTGTTCCCAGAATCAAAAAATGATCTACCAAATTATGTCAAATGATACATAAAACCTAAAATAACAGTAACCTGTTGTAAAAGCAGGGGTGACATGATAAATACACAGCTATACAAAATATGTGTGTACAGTGTAGTTGCACTTACCACAGTCAGGAAGCCAGTGAACACACTCTGAGGTAGGGAGTAGGTGATGATGGTGAATCTGGCTGAGCCATTGGAGGCTGGGGCGCAGGGAGGTCCAGGCGAGTGAGTTTGGGAAGGAGAGGGAGCCTGACTTGTCATCATTGTCCCAGCTCATCAGAGCAGGCAGGTCACTTATATCTATACCAACATTTATGTCTTCCTTCGTGTGGAAGGTCCAGGTTTCCTAGCCTGCGCTGGCCCATGAGGACCTCATGAAATAGGAATGAATGATTGACTGTATCGCTTCACAGATTTTTGTAGCTTTGTAGTTACTCAAAACATCCTGCCACTGGCCCTAAACCTACCTGCCCCTTCAAAATGAATGTTAAACTTTTTTGCAATCATTTCAGCCCTGTCAACCACAGTGGAAAATCTCACACAAGGGCCTCACGTTCAGTTCCTGGATAACTTGACTTTTGAGTGTTCACTGCGACATTCAGTTTGAATTCTGTCAGTAACATCCTTAGGAGAGCTCTCAGGATTTTCTGATACTTTATAGCATAATAAGGTCACGTCGCAAACCGGCACGCAAAACAAATGGAGAGCCATAAGTACAGACTCTTCTAGCGCAAGGGTGGGGCGGCTGATATTGAGATGTGGAGGGCGGTTTGGGGAAGAAGAAGCTTGGCTGGGGCCACTCACGCAGCGGTGGGGGTGCCAGATGCCTCTCTGGTGTCGCGGCAAAGCGCAGACTGATACTGTGTGTGCTTTTCGGCTTCTGTCGTAAAAGCAAAGTGGCGTAAAGTAAACTGTTGGAAAACAAGCGACACTTGTATCTCAAACAGCTGTGTTCAAGTGGAAGCCTAAGAAAGTTGTTCTCTGAGCTCATTAGATTTCCCCTAAACCTCTGTCCTCGAGTAACCTCAAGGAAGCTGCCATTTTAAAAACCATAGCCGCCGCCCCCCCCCGCCACCCTTTTTGCTCTTATGGAAACCTGCAATTGCCTTGTTGGTGATCTGGCGCATGAGTTTCACGCTGGGGTTTGGGACACAGCTGGCTTTGCTGCCGGGCCTGGAAGGGTCTGTGCTTGTGTCTTGTGGGGTGGTCTGAAGGAACATGTGTCTTCCAGCTGAGATACCCACGTGGCTTGAAGCAGACAGTGAGACCCGTGTCCTGCTCACACCCCTCGCATGTGAAGTATTTGCAATATGCTTTTTTTTTTCCTCCTCCATGTTTTATGAGGGATTACAATACCCCGGAATAAAGAGTTTTGATCCTAGTAAGCCTGGAAAAATACTTCTGATGGACCTGAATGAAGAAGATCCATCAGTGTTGGAGTTGAGTATCACTGGAAGTAAATTGGATTTATCTTCATTTAACCCTCATGGAATTAGCACTTTCACCGATGAAGGTAGCGATGTTTAATTTTTATTAAGAATCAAAGCAATTTTAAAAAAGAAAATACTGTTAAATGAATATTTTTTTCACACTACTAAAGTTTAATAATGAATAATGTTCTTATTCTGAGTTTTTAACTTACCCACATGTTAATTAAATACAATGGTAAAACTAGCTAAATGCTTGAGAATGCTAAAATATTTAAGATTTGTAACTCACCTAATTTTTAAAAATACCAAATTTACATTATCCCTATAATTATTATAGTGATAGCATCCAGACCTAATCATTTTGGGTTTTCCATTTTATACTGTACAGATTCAGGAATTAATAGGAATAGATTTTTCTAACCTAAGGCATTTGCAACCTATAGATCTACTGACAAAAAGTCACCATGGCCAACTTTATCTCTCTTTCTTTTTTTAATATTTGTAAGAAAATTTATGATGAAATGTTCAAAAACATACAAAGCCGGAGAACAGTGTTAAAAAGATTTGCATGTCAAGGTTCTCTCAATCCCATCAACTTCAGTGTCTCCACCAGTGTTTACTGGTCCCTCTGCTTAGTCTTCGAATTGCTTCTCTGCATTTTAATACTCATGAACATGTTACCTCCATTCATATGTTGTCATCCCATTTCTTCCTTTCTACATTAATTCTCAGCCCCAGTTACACAGAGAAGCACCTGAAGAGTTTCTGAAAACCTGACTCCCAGTATCAGCCACAAATACTCTGCTTTGGTTCATATGAAGGAGGCCTATACTTGTTCAAAGTTGGCTCTTTCTTCTCTTTCCTAAGGGTCTCCTCCAAGAAGGTGTCTTAGATGTGTGGCAAGCTTTTGGATCTCAGTGGCCCTGCTCTGGGCTACTCCTGTTTGGGTACTTACTCAAAAGGGGATGGGTAGCTTTGGGTGTTTTATGGGAAACTATATCCTCTGTCTCTATGTACATTGACTTTATTAAAGATTTTCAGATGATAAAAATGTAAAGTCAAGGCTAAGATATTTCTGTATCTGTGAGCTTCATCTCATCAGATCATCTCTTCATCAGTCCTTCCAGACATTTCCTATTTGGGATAATTAAAAGTGCTACCATAAGACTCATTAATGATGTCCTTGTTAACAAACCTTCTCTCACCGTTCCCCTCCCCCCTTCCTTTCTCTAGTTTATGCTAACCTGTTGATCATGTTCACTCTTCCCAGTACATGTCTCCTCCTTGATTTTCTAATATACCAATCCATTCTAAATCTCACTTTGCTGCAGTGTCTCCCCTGCTCAATATTTTGTCACTCATTTCATAGTCTCTGAGCATTTCCTAAAGGACAGGTATTTTAATTCCTCTTTTATTTTCTCTATTTCTGACAATTAATCATGTCACAATCATGATTGTGCCTGCTTGGTAGGATAATAGCCCCACCTGTAGGGTGTTCTTTTTTTTTTTTAAATCACCCTCCAGTTCCATTCCTTCTAGCTTAGGATACTACATAATTGCATTTTATTTCTCTTGCATTATCTTATTAGACACTTTTGATTTTAAAATCAAAAGTCAAAGAGTGACCTTCCATTTTTTCTTCCTTTCTTCTTCACCTCTACTCTACATGATTTATCTTCTTTGAAATATATCGTCTCTTCAATGAGCTTTCTATTTACTGACACATTTTATTTTGAAAATATTTTTAGTTGCAAAGAAATACAGTATAGGGTATAGGTATACTTTTCAAAATAAAAATGGGATAATCTTACACAAACCCATCTATAAATTGCTTTTGCACTAAACATTGCATCGTGGACTCCACCTATGAGAGCAGGTAGAGCTACAGCTGTTCAGGATTCAGTTGTGTGGGAGTACCATAAAATAACTCATCTGTTGATGGATATTTGGTCTGTTCCCACCTTTATTCTCTTTGCAAACTGTGCCAAAAGAAACTTTCTTCAAAATATATACCATCAGTAAATACTTTCTTAGGATAAATTCTTAGAGATAGAATCTGCTGCACAAAACATGAATCCAGGGCTTAATCCTCACTTATTCCAGCTTGGACATCTGTTTTTTTTTTAATATATATATATATACTTCCTGTCAAATATTTTTCTGTCCTTTCCAGTCTTTTCTTGTTAATGCCACCTCCAGGTCCAGACCCTTCTCTCTGAGCTTGGGTAACTGTTTTAGCCCCAGGTCATGCTACACTTTGGCTCAAAGCCTCCATGAGTAAGCCCTGACAAGATGACTTTGGTGCCCTTTCTCTATGGCTTCAGCTTTTCCACTTTTTCTTTTGCTCAGCAGGCTCTAAACACAACCTCATTATTAAGTGAATGGCTGGGGAAGCTACTGCCTCAGGCCCAATGCATACACTCTTCCCTTTCTCTAGACTTCATTTCCCCTGGATACTCACACGGTCTGTGGTTTATTTCATTTAGGTCTCCGTTTTAATGTCACCTAATCAGAGATGACAATTGTGACTTTCACGAAGAAGACATTCTTTTAATCTCCACTCCTTTATCCGGTTTTATTTTCTCTTCATAGCGTTTACCACTCATTAAAGTAAACTCTTGGATGAATGGGCTAATAAAGAGCTTCCTGGCTGGCTTCTCCTTCCAAATCTCTTCAGTTTAACCTACTAACTAAACTTGCACGTTCTTTTAATGATCAGTATAGTCATGTGAACGGTTCTTAGAGACTTACTGCTTCTTAAGGCAAAGATTGTCATCTCATTTCACTTGCCATCTTCCATCACACCAGTTAGGTGGGTCTCTTTCATGTCCCAAAGTCAAACAGACTCATGGAACTTACTTCCCTTTAATACTTTCTCTTAGTTGTTCTTTTTGAGAAATTTATTATCTTACACTGTGTAAATTGTCGTTCAGCACACCTCATATTGGTATTTCCCACGTCTTTTATCTTAACTCTGCTTCTTGCTGAGACCATTTGCAATGGAAAGCTTAACAAGCTCTTTGGAGTTTTAGTGTCAAGCGCTGCTCATTCTTAAGTTGAGGAGCTTTTTTTCCCATGTGGTGGAGTTTTAATTTTTTTCTTAGAGACTGTCACTGGTTCTTCCTTTAGCTGTTTTTGTTTTTTTGTTTTTTGTTTTTTTTGTTTGTTTGTTTTTTGTGGAGCAATCACAAATATCACAAATGCCTCTCTCTACAAAGAGATGAAATATTCTATCTGCCTGACACCCTAAGTACTACTTGAAGGTGGGTTGAAATTGCTTTTTGGAGACAGGGCTGACAGCTGAGAACTCAGTTAACATTTCGATTTTTGTTTTTAATCTCTTCTCAGATAATACCGTGTATCTGCTGGTGGTAAACCATCCAGATTACAAGTCCACAATTGAGTTGTTTAAATTTCAAGAAGAAGAAAAATCACTTTTGCATCTGAAAACCATCAGACACAGACTTCTGCCTAAGTACTGAGATACAGCTTATTTCTCTTTCCTTTAACAGCAGTGCATGGTTAATCCACATTGTTCTCTTTGGAAAGGGGAGGTGGGATGCCAGCTCTGTTCTAAAAATCATGTTTCTCCCAATGTTCTTCTGCAGAAGCTTTTGAATACTCAGACCACTCAGAGAAGACCCATCCTTCCCCTTCCCCTTTCTGATCACTGGATGTTGTTTTATGGCTCCTGGGGTCAGAATCTCCCTTCAAGCTTTTACCATGAAAAAATTGTTTTCCCCGAACAGACTTAATATTTCAAACCCAAACCAGTTTCATGGGTGACCCACATGTTGTGCTTACTTATTTCTATATATTGAAAATTTGAGTTTTAATTGCCTCTATGAGTTAGAAATACTGAGAAGAGAGCCAGAATCTGGTGCCCCTGAGACACCTTTGCACTGTCTCTACTCTGTTTGACCACATACGATTTCTGAGACAACACATCTGTAGGAATTCTTAGTTTGGTCTTAAGCTCATTGACATTATAATGTGTGGAGAAAGAAAACACCCAGGCACCATCAACCAGACACAAAGGCAACTCCCTCTCCTCTCTTAAGAGGGTTTAGTGTCTAAGACTAGTCATGGATTTAGGACAATATTTTGACATTTTCTTCTCAAATATTTTAAACTACTAATTATTATGAGTATCATTTGAATAATTTATGGAAAACATTTGATGACCTGAGTATTTGTAAATCTAGATTTCTTTTAAACCAAACATGCAGGAACCTAACAAAACACTTGGCTGATAGTGTCTGCTCAGTGTTAGCAGTGTACTTCCTGTCCTTTCTTGCCTGATGGCTGTGAAGGAGACGGAACAGATTGGACAGAAATTGAGTTAATGGAGGAAGGAATGATGTATCCCAGGTCTTCAGCATCCCTAGAATGAGTGAAAGTTCAGAGAACAGGTTCTGCTGGGAAAATTTATTCAGCAAACATATTTGGAAAAAGAATGAGGCCAATTAATGACACCACATACATAATACTTAGAATGGACAAGCTGAATAACATTAACAAGGACAATAATAGTAGCAGTGATAACAGCTTCATTAACTTTAATGTTAAGTTAGTTACCGCAATAACCAATTTAAACAGATGATTAACCTTCTTAACTAGGTTTAGATAAAAAAAAAAAAAGAACAAACCTGGAATATTCAATGGTATTTTACACCACTAGTAAGTGGTATAATTGGCATTTTAATCCTGGTAACGAGTCCAGAGCTGATTTTCTGAACCACTGTTAAATAGTGAAATATTCTATTTGTTTCTCCATTCTATCTTATAAATCTCACATTTATCCAGTTTCCTAGAGCAATAGTATATTTCTCTGGATCCTTTGCAAAAATATTCATTTTTGGCAAAATAGAATCAAACTGCACATAATCATGGTGTCACAATTAACTAAAATTCCTTCAACTTAAAAATTAACCATGTATAACTTCTGCTTTGTGTTCAGTCATTGTGTGTAAAGTTTTTTTTTTAATAACATTTACTATCCCAGTCACTAAATCTATTATAATTTAAACATGTTGTCATTCAGAATGTTATAATGGCCATTTTGGTCATTTAGTATATGCCAGACATTTTGCCAAACTCTTTACATTCATTCTTTATTATATTCTCACCCTATCTATCCACGGTCCAGAGAGGAAACTGAGGTTCAGAGTTTACTGACTTGCTATGGCCCCACAGACGATAGCAAGCAACACCAGGGCTCAGAGTGACACCCTCAGATTTCAAATCTATCACTCTAACCCATTCAGTTCTGCTCATTTTTGAGAAAAAGAAATGATCACAAAACATACTCATTTTAGAGACTGACTTTCTAAAAAGAGAGTAAAGTCAGTTTTCTGATTTATGCCTACAGCCTGAACAGATTAATCCTAAACCCCGAGACCGTTTTCCCCCTATGAAGGAATAGTTGTTCCTGTTGACTGAGGTTCTAATGAGGGCCAGGCTTCCAGTAAATGCACACCAGGCATTGTCGTGCTTTGTAATTCCCATTGCAACTCTACAAATTAGGATTCTAACCCTTAGTCATTTACTAATGAGCTGTATGACTTTGGGAAAATCATTTAACCTCTCGTTACAGATGAGAAAACTGAGGCTCCCTATGCTTATCAGGCTTCCCCAGGAGCCCAGAGTTGCGAGCTGATGCACTAACCATTGCAATAGAGCGAGATAATTCTCTTCCAGATAATGGCCCCAGGGAACTTCTGTCACCTCAATCAGCAAAGAATGACTCACTTATGTGTTCGCTGTTGTACCTATTAAAGCAGAAAAATAGACTCATATATCTTAGATTTTCAGTAACAGAGAATCAAAATCAGAAAACAAAAAGCCATAGCATCTTATTACTGAGCTTTCTCGGTCATGGACATTTTACTTAGTTTAGAATCATGAAACTTCAAGACCCGTTAAAGTCAAAAAATAGGCCAGTCCACCTCCTCTTCCTTTTACAGACAAGGAAACTGAAGCTCTGACATGTGAAATGATCGATTTTTCCTTAAATCATAGCTCATAGCAGCAAAGTTTCAATTAAAATGCAAGTTTCAAGGTTGCCATCATGATTCCAGGCCTGATTTAGCATTGACTGAATAATCAGTATTGAATACAAATGTGTAGACCTGTTGTGCACAATCCATTCACCTGTGTATACATCATATGTGTGTGTTTGTTGCAGTGTGAATGACATTGTCGCCGTAGGACCTGAGCAGTTTTATGCCACAAACGATCACTATTTTGTTAACCAATACTTGAGATCCTGGGAGTTACATTTGGGTTTAGCATGGTCATATGTTGTCTACTACAGTCCAAATGAAGTTCAAGTGGTGGCAGAAGGATTTGATTTTGCAAATGGAATCAATATTTCACCTGATGGCAAGTATGTGAACTCTTTAAAATATCTTCCATTTTCCCCAGATCCTCACTAGATATCTTTAGAGTATATCCCTTTTCTAAATAATGTGATTTACTTTAACTTGATATCCTAGGAAGAGGAAAAGAGGAAACATGTAAAATATCTGAATTGTTTAAGGGGTAAAATCTATCGAATGGAAATGTTCATACTTTTTAAAAATTTGGGGGGGAGGTAAAAACTATTTCAAATGGGGCAACTATGATAAACACTTAGTATTACTAAATATCCTTGAAGGCTAGATCTTTGAGTGTATAATCAGATTAATGGTAGGCGGATATTTACATATCGCTAGTGCTAGTTTGTGACAAAAGAGCTTGCACAAAAATGTAAATAAAGGCACTGCTTTCTTCATCAAAAAGTATTACTATGGGCAGGAGGGAAGTCAGCTTAACAAAGCAATATGCTTAGTGATGTAGCTGATTGACATTATTTAGTAGTGCCACCAAACTAACAATTCACATACCAGCATTGGCCCAGAGTGTTGGGTCAGGTATTTTTAATATCTATATCTATATTCTAGCTATCCATCCCTCTGTATATTTCCTTTTGTATCACCAAGGATTTCAGAAGGTGTTAACACATTTTGAAAGAGCAAGATGTATAGCTTACAGTGTCTCCTAGCATCTCCCAGACTTCAAAAGTATAGACAGTCAGGCAGTCATCTATCTTTTTGTCCTTTCTTTCTGGACCCACTGTGCTTAGATTGACCACAGATCTTTGGGGCAGGACATTGAACACAAAATTCCATATCCTCAGGATCTGGTCCAGTCTCAAAACCAGACTGAGTATCTTGCTTTCCTACCCTTTCTCTGGATTAAACCAATGAACTTGTCAAAGGGCTCTTGTAAGCCTACCCAGAGAAGTTCCCACCCTCTGCAGTACAGACTCTGAGACCTGCCACTGGGCTGACAAACGAGATCATGCTGTTATGTTTTGCTCCCAGATAGTAAAGATATGGTGTGAAAGCTCAGTTCTGCCTACTGACCAGGGTTAATTCAGTTCCTGCCTTTAGAAACGACTTTCCAGTGATGGGAATTTCTTTGTGCACTGCAAACTCACCGAGTTTTAGAATTTGGTGTGCTTTGAGATAGGTTCCATTTTCCAGTCTCTAAACATAGTTCTTCTCCAGAAAGAGTTATTCCAGCTTCCCCCAGAACCTTTTGAATTGCATTATTTCAAGTGTTTTGATGTAGCTCTTTCTTCTTTGAAGGCATGTCTATATAGCTGAATTGCTGGCTCATAAGATTCATGTGTATGAAAAGCACGCTAATTGGACTTTAACTCCATTGAAGGTAAGATGTATTAACACTATAAGTTTGCAGAGTGATAATTAGATTCTAATTGATTTGTGAAATTAAAAGTGAGGAAAAAAGGATTGTCTAATTGGAGTGGGTGAGAACCAATTTTTCACTCTTTTATTAAGAGTCATCAGCATCCTGTGTGTTTGTTGTTCACTTTTACATCGCTGCAGAGTGGAAAGCACAAAGCACACGTTTACCTATGAAACTTCAATTCCTTTTCTGCTTTGAATGCTGGGCATTGTATTCCCAAATCTCCTTCCTCCTTCTCACCATCCTTCTTTCCCTCCCCTTTTCCATTCTTACCCCTGCCTCATAAGACCATCTCAGTTTTTGCCTTTCTTAATCCCATTCTTCCTTCATTACCGCCATATTGATGGGACAGTCAAGAAAAAGCCTCAACTTGCATTTGCCACAGCAGTGCTCCTCACAATATGTATAAAACCCTGGACTGACAAATGCCATGCTGACAACCATGTGCACCATTGTCCTGCCTTATGGCCAACCTTTGCTCCCCTGCTCAGCCTCTGCCAGCCTGTTCCTGGAGCTCACTGGGCATGGCCCAGCCTCAACGGGGCACTTGTTTCTTTGGTTCCTCTTCCAAGTCTTCATTATTCTTTCTTTCATATCCTTCTAGATTTTACTAAATGGCACCTCAGCTGGGCCCTCCCTAGCCACTAATCTCCTTCATCCTTCCCACCATCCTTCTTTCCCTCCCTTTTCCCCTTTCAACATGGCTCCCTCCTCTGAAACACCTATTTCCTCTCTTCTTTAGGGTATTATTTTCCTTTCAGTTTTCATTACTAACATACTATATATATATTTTATCCTCTCTATCCTCTTTCTGTCCCACTAGGGGACCCACAAGGACTTTTTTTTTCTATTTGTTCTTGGAAGAGAGCCAAACAGCTGGAAGACCTTCAACAAATACTTGTTAAATTAATCTGGTGGGGCTGGGCATGTGTCAGGGGTTTGACTTCTACTCCAACAAATTCTGATGTAGTCTGAAGGTTTGGGTCAAAGAGCTAATAAGAGAAAGTGAGTAAGTAGAACTGTGAAAGTCACTCCCTGCTTTGAAAACCATAAGACAATATTCTCCTGTCATAACCACCCACACCACGAAGCTGTCCCCAGCTCTGTGTGACTGCCTGTATGTATATCAAAGACACTGTCATGGGGACTTCACTCTGAGAAAATTACTTGAAGCAACATCAAATGTAACACCATGTTTGACATTAAAGATCCTTGGTAGGGTTAGTTTGGTATTAGCAGAAGTAAAATGGAATTTTACACACTTAGAGTGGCCGGGGGACTAAAGCAAACTGTAGGTATAGCAATAGGTACTTCTGTAAATTGAAAGTTAAAGACTTTTGTGAATATGGAACCCTAACTGATATAGTCAACACAAAATGATCAAGGTATTACTCTTGCCAAGTCACCATGGAAAGCAAAATTTATCTCAGGTTTGGGTCCCACTTTAAGAAACAGAACATACTCATCTAACAGCAATTCTACCCCCTGGAGTCAAGGATATTCTTTCAACTCTACTGCTATCCTTTCTTTGAAGGATTATATTAAGGCCAATTAATATCTAGAGTGCCAAGAAATTTGATAAAATAGCAGAGATTGATCTTAGAGTTTGATATGAAATGTGGATGGATTATATTCTGTCAAACTGTGGCATACCCATGCAGTGGAATATTATTCAGCCTTTAAAAAGGACTGAAGTATTTAGTCTACATTGTGGAAGAATCTTGAAGTCATTACATTAAGCAAAGTAAGACAGACACAGGAGGACAAACACTTAAATGAGGTACCTAGAATAGACAAGGTCATAGAGACAAAAAGTAAAATATAAGTTACCAGGGGCTGGGGGAAAAATAGTGGGAATTACTGGGAACTGAGTATCTTTTAGCGTTGACAAAGGTTCTGGCAATGGATAAAGGTTATGGTTGCACAATATTGTGATTGTACTTAGTACCACCAAATTGTAGAATTAGGAATGGTTAACAATGACTAAATTTATGTTTTACATATTTCACCACAACATTTCTCTCTCCCCTCCAAAATACAAACAATTCCAAGATAGTCAATGAATGAGTCCCAACTCAAAGTCAATTTTCTGAGAATTGGGATACTTGTTAACAGAAGATACTCTTCCCCCGAAGAGAACACTGCTTTGGCTAAGCAATGCAATATTTAGAAGCCTGTAACATGGCACACACATGCACTGTAGTGAGTAGGTAGGGGCAGACCTTTCATTACTGGTCCAGACAAGGCTCCCTGCAGTACTGTCAGCAACTTGTTGGCAGGAATCAGTTCTTATCTGCTTGCACAGAGTACATGGTAGGATCTCAGTAATTGCATGTGGAATGAATGGGGCTCTGGGCATTTGTGTCTTCTCCCACTCTCACCCCTGCAAGAGTCTCATCCCTGCAGGCTTTCATCTGCTGTGGACTCAGCAATAGACTATATTACCTCTTCCAAAGATAATAACACAGCCCCAGAGACAAACATTTTCCTAAAGAAATTCAGGTGTCAGAGTGGATGTCTGACATTTTGAGTGATGGGGGTGGAAGGGTGGATGGCCTGGGGCTCTTCTGAGGAGAGCACATTTTTGGCCAATCTCACCTATGTCCAGGATAAGAATGAGTGCTGGCTTGGTATGAGTTTGAGAAGGAAGCCCAGTGACCATGCTTGAGCCTCTAGTCCCTTCATGGACCTGTGGGACAAGCTCTCATTTTAAGTAAGAAGCACATGGCAGTGGTGACTGCTTGAAGCTGCCTGCACACCTTCTGGCCTCTGCCATGGGTCACTAACAGTTATTACAGGGTCTCTGGGTGTTGTTGTATGCTGGCCTCTGAGGTACATGGTAGACATTGTTCCTCCAACTGAGTTAGAGGTAAACAAATAGACAAGATTTCTTCCCAGTAGAAGGCAGCCAAAATGATGAATGGTGGAATTAAGAATTGTTGGTATTATTTATGATCCTGGTGCAAAGCCTTGGCAGCAATCTGTGCAGTCATCTCATGCTTGCAACTTATATTTAGAAAATAAACAGCAGAAGAACAGGGAGTTAAATAACATCAGGAAAGTAAAGCACAAACTTTCCCTCAACTCCAAGATGAAAATTAGACCCCATGTGATCATTTCTTCTCTGGCTGCACAGTCTGTGATTAGCCATGATAGGAGATTCAGCACTTCAGCCATTTTGTCATCGGAAGCGAACCCATATTCTCCAGTTGGTGTCAGAATGCATGTGAAATTTCGTCGTCACATGCCATTGAGAAGAAACTGTATTGCTTTACTAAAGCTTTTTTTTTTTCCTTTCAATTTTTTGGGTTCACACTGAGGTGGTAGGACAAAGGATTTCATCTAACTTTAAGTCTTTCTTGGATTTCCCTGTCTCCCGGAAACTGATAAAGTACTAGTTTACATGGAAGCTAGAGGAATCCCTTGAGAGTTACTGGCCTGGAGCAGGAAGGCCCAGTCCTTGCTCCCAACAGTGTGACCATCAGGGACAAGATGGTAGTTTCCCTTGACTTGTTGCTCCATCACCTCTCAAAGTTTTCAACTCTCTTCGCTTCCTCCCTGTTTTTCATCTGGAAGACCCTGGATTTTGACACACTTGTGGATAATATATCCGTGGATCCTGTGACAGGGGACCTTTGGGTTGGATGTCATCCCAATGGCATAAAAATCTTCTTCTACGACGCAGAGAAGCCTCCTGCATCAGAGGTTAGTTTGAAAATGAATCAGATCAGTGATCTTATCCCCAGCTGTTTTTTTTTTTATTTATGGAAACATAAATCTCAATTATGTGTGCAAATAAAAGGGGGAGAGGCATGGATAGATGACCCAAATGATCAGCTATAAAAAAGAATTTGACTTTGGGAGTTATTTTAGGCAGAGTCTAGGAAACAGATGGGTCATTTACATTGAGTAATTTGAGGGGACTTAATAAAGGCACTATATGGAAAGGTCAGAGAGGGGGAAAAATCAACAGGAGGTAAGACATTAACCTAGAGCTGGTAGGAGAGCCAGGTATCCAAGCCAGGACAAGCAAGAGATGTATGAGTGTGTAGAGGGTCTTCTGAGAGGAACCAGGCCGCTGTTTGGGGTGGCCGGGGGAGATGGCCCACTGGTAGGAACTCCACAGAGAGGTGTGCAGAGAATAAATACCCACATCCCTCTCAGAAGAGGGCTCCTTGTATGGTTCCCCCACCCTACTGCTGCTCTTGGTGGACCCTAACTAGGGACTTTCATCATATAGAGCAGAGCAGCTGGTGGGCCTGAGGGCTGGGTCAGGACAGCCCACATTGGCCTTAGGTTCTGACCTTTATTTCAAGTGAGTTTCCACAACTTGGAAATTCATGATAGTTTAAAAAATATAGTGAACCGCTTTGCTGTGGTGTCATCAGATTACCTGCCTTCCCTCATCCAGGGTGTACAAGTTAACAGCGAGGCCCGGCCCTGATGGACAAGTAGCCATCCTCTCTACCCCTTCTCTGCTACATGGGAAAATAAATCACACCCTGGAATTATCTGGGCTTGAAGACCTTTTTTTGCTATCTGAGTGATAGAAGCCAAGACCCTATTTGTGTCCACAGTCTTTATTCATGGGAGTGTGTGAGCAGTGCAGTGAGGAATTTGAAACTCAGTTTTTCAGGAACATTTGAATGATTAACAAGACTTACCAGGATTTTGTGTTTGGATTTTTCAGTATGTGCCTATTATGCTTGTTTTTTCAGTATGTGCCTATTATGCTTGTTTTTTCCTTCAAAATGTTACTAGTTTTGATCTATTTGTTGATTGCTGTGTATTTTTAAAGCTAGTTTTTTTAAGTCTGTCTTACCCTTTTGCCCCCCAACAGGAAAAAAGTAATAATAATTTTTTCTCGGGTAAAAAAAAATCCTGAATGTATACTTCCAATTATATTACGGTCTTCATACCTTTTATCTTCAGGTTATGGGACAGTTGTGATTTGTTTAGTGGCAATCCTTTGTGCCTTTTGCCAGTTCTTGGCTATTAGAATTGCTGTGGAGGATGTTTAGAAGAATTGAAGCAATGTATGCGGTCGCATGCTCCCTGTTCAGAACCGAGCAGAATGTTAGATTCTAATTTGTTCTTGCTTGTTAGATCATTTGGTGAACTTGGGTCATTTGTTATTGCATGAACTTGATTCTCTATTCTGGAAATAATACTTCCTTTCTAATGATGGCTCTGGTTAGGAGTGACAAAAAGTAATAACAATCCATTATATATAATGCACTGTCCCATAGGAGAGTTATTTAGTTTTATTAAAAAGGGGCTTCCTTAAGCCAAGGTGCACCATCAACTATTTCCTAGTAAGTGCTACATGTTAATGCAATCATACAAGTAATTTTCTAAAATGCCTGTCTTCGGTGCCAGCTGTTTCAAAGAGGTCCTTTTACATGGAGATCCATTTAAAATGGTCTTTCTGGTCTGCCATATCTGGGGGTTTCTTCAAGTTATTGTGTTTATCCTAAAGGTATAATAATAATAGAAAGCTGGAGTTGAAAGGAAATTTAGTTAATGTAGCCCTAGTCATCTTATTCTACAGATAAACAAATGGTAAGTAGATGATTCGAAACATGACCTGAACTCCTGCCTTGGAAGTAGTCTAATGTACAGTAGGAAGAAGACTCATAGTCAATTACCATTTTATTGGCCAAAATGGTCAAGTATTGACTATTACATATAGTCAGCTGAACATATTACTTTGATTTTGCCAATGATAAAGTCATATTTCTGCTTGACTAAATGAAAGAAAGGGAACTGACAGACAATTCAGAATTGAGCCCTTAAGTTCAGAGGACTGGATAAAGTGGGTCCAAGATATGCAGACATATTCTTTAATGTTTTTTTTTTTAATTGCCAGCAACTGAAAATAAAGAATGCAAATTGTTATCTAATTTGAAAATAGAACAAAACTTATCTGGCAGGCAATAAGTTATTGTTATGAGGTAACAGCTTCCTTCCTTAACACGGTCCCCTATGCTCCCCAATGTCTTACACCCATGTTGTGCTACTCATTTATATTTCTTGTCAAATCTGTATATGTGTATGCCTCTTCCTCTCTTTGAAACCACTTAATCAAAATCTGTCATTTTGCTAAGGAACCTCAGATCTCTTAATGGAAAGTAATTTGGAAACAAAATATGATTTACATAAGGTTTCTTCTTATGGAGAAATGACTCCATATATATAGTTATGTTTTAATTTTTTAAAATATGTTTTTTGATAGGTGCTCCAAATCCAGAACATTTTAACAGATGAACCCAAAGTCACACTGGTATATGCAGAAAATGGCACAGTGTTACAAGGAAGTACCGTGGCCTCTGTGTACAAAGGGAAACTGCTGATTGGCACCGTGTTCCACAAAGCTCTTTACTGCAAGCTCTGACAGGCTGATTTGCACCCAAGTCATGAAACTATGAACCCATCATTTCAACTACTTACCACATGGAAGAGGCTATGGTGATCTCTAAACATGACGATTGACCCTAAATTGGACATCCAAGGGATGGAACCACTGTCTAACTGGGAATAGATATGATGTGTAAGGCTTTTTGAGAGGGGAATATCAAACTCATCTTGGGAATACCTGAAAACTTAGTTACCAATAAAAATTCCCTTCAATGAAAGGGCTTAAAATTGTGTCAGCTGTCAGGTCTTAAATAATATTTTAACTCTATGTGACCCCCAAAGTACTTTTCCTAATGTATGTGTTTCCTGAGAGCTCATCCTTATTGTTGCCTTGCTGAGTCTTGTTCAGAAAAGAGAGCAGGATGGATTCAAGTCCTCAGAATCCCAGGACTCAAGGACTTTAGTTCACATGCTAGAAAGTTTGATGCATTCTACCCAGCGACCTCTGGGCACACCTCTAGGGGAGCCATCAGACTGTGCACAGTCACCATTTTTCTCTTCTCTGTATGACTTGCTCAGTAAAGACAAAACTAAATTACTTTAACTTTTCTTTTACTCTTGCTTATTCAGTTCTTCTCTAGTGATGGCATGTAGGAAAATCTTAAAATTGTTGAGAGTGTGGTCATACCTGAAAATTAGGTTTTTTTATTTCCATACAAATTGTACATTTTCATTTCTTTGACCTGGAGTTCACTGAGTAGTGCCCCCTGAGAGTCTTGTTGAGGGGATGGTGGCTGCTTTTTTTCTTTCCAACTTGTAGGGGAGGCTAAGGAGAAAACAACAGATTGGTAAACTGGCAAAGAAAAGACCAATGACCTTGGCTATCTTATGAGGGATGACAGGAAGAAAACATAACATTATTATTAATTTTTTAAATGAAAGCTGAGATGAAAAGCTACACATTTTCCTTTGTCTGTCTGTTTGAAGGTGTGGCCTCCATGCTGTATTATTTCTAGGGGTTGTGCACATTGTCATTTAGGAATCCAGGTTTATATAAGGCTGTTACCTCACAAAACGCATGTGGTGGTCTGGCTTTTGTGAAAAATGTTTTGCCCATAAATTGAGAACTGCACACAGACTAAGACCACTGACTTAAAGTAATAAACAGGAATATTTTGTTTGGATAAAACACATTCCTCACTTGAGGATTAGTGATTTTAGGGATGATTTGAGTGCACATACCATGGTGCGACCTCTGCGTACTCAGTCACTCAGGAAGCCGATTCTCAGCTTGCTGTGAATAGCCATGGCTGTGGTGCTCAGGCAGACAGAAATCAACTGATTTACTTGCAAAAGAATTGCTTGATATCATCAATAAGATGACCATACCATGTACCTCACAGAAGCAGCAAATTCTGCACCAAAGAAAAAAGAAGTCCAATTTGACATGTTTTACAACCAGATCGTCCAAAAGGGACACATGCTTCCCCTTGGTTAGGAGCTTTAAAACCCACTCAAGGAAAAGACAGCTTAGCTCATTTCTTCTGTTCCAAATGTTTATGTGCTAAAGTTTTTCTTGTTTTGTTTTGAAATTTAGAAAAATATTCATTACATCATCCTTCATTTTTGTATAATGTATGATTTCCAGGTTAAAATCCCACCACCAGTTCCCCCCTGCACCATCACCATAGTCCCTTGTGCTCTTCCCACCCCTGTCCTGGTCCTTCTCCCTCCTCCTCCCCTACAGAATGTCTCTGATTTATAGTTGTCTGATGACTTTGATTTTTATTTTGTTATAGTTACTTTTTTTCCCCCTGACTTATTTGCTTTCTCTATATTCTCCTATAAGTGAGACTGCCAAAGTTTTAATCACAGAAAAATAATGACTTGTATGTGAAAAAGGAAGAGAAATTAATGTTTCTAATTAATTAGAATCACACCTCCAGGAGACTAAAGATTTGAAGAAGAAAACTGGTTAAAGGAACCCCCAGACTCTACAATCCCTGACTCTTAGCTTGGCCCACACTGTGTGAGGTAAACGGATTTAACCAGACCTTCTCCTTGCTGACATGTATCAGAAATCATGCTGGTGAAGCTGTGACAAGAACAGAGTGATGGGCAAGGGAGTTTCTAGTGGAAGCTTCATTCTTTTCACTTTATGCCCAGTTCCATAATTGTGCTTTCAGATGTAATTCTAGCTGCCAATTTACACTTTACCAGGGCTAAAACTTATTTTTAGTTTCATTTCCATGAAAAATGTGCACTTTGCTCTTGATTGATAGATATATTTTGACAGTTAATACAAGTTTACCCAGTCAAGGCTTGTTTTAGTGGAGGTGAAAATGGAAGAAAAAAATTATTTCAACAGATCTTAGTATTTCTCTTTTTATTGCATTCGTTGTCTAACAACAATAATACTCATTGGCAAGAAATTTATTTACACTAACAAATTAAATTTAATCACAGGTATTTTTAGATTGGTTGGAAACAAAGGACCACTGTGATAATTTGCTTTGAATGCCTCTGAAAACCAAAGAATAAGAGTGTCGTTGGAAATGGAACAATCTAGGGAAATACATATTAGAACCAAGCACAAGAGAACAATTCAGACGTGGCACTATTGTCTCTTCCATGCAAATGAACAGACACAAAGTGTACAAATTAAAAGTTTCAGGTAACATGCTATCCATACTTATTGGATTTAAATTATTTTCAAACAACCTTTTCCCTTTAGTGATACATAACGAAAGATTAAAATAAATCAACTTCTTACAATGGAACAATTCATTCTCTCTCTTTTTTTTTTCCCAGCTGGCCAGTTTTGTGATATGTAGTAGTTGTACTAGTGGTTTAAATGCAACACCATTAAGATTACGAAAGTGTTAGTGATGATAATAAATAATATTGAGGAGAACATATACATATACAGTTAAGGGGTGTCACTAAGCACTATCTAAATCTGATGTTGTTAGGAGGTGTTATCTAGCTGCCTACTTCACACTTTTTTAGGTGATTTAATTATTCTTGGCCAATTGTTCCTATAGGAATGAAAGACTGAATCTGCAACAGAAAGCCTGGCTGTGTGAAAAAAATAGCTGAAAGAAATAGAAGTGTACACCTTCCAACACCATTTTCATGCTCACATCCACTTTTGTTAGACAGGGCAATGACTTAACCATGCTGTCATTCAGCAAGAAAAAGAAAGATGACCATGTGATGGAAACACTGCCATTAGAAAGCCAGTCGTTAATGACTTAAGCATCACAGCCACCAAAGATGTCATTTTAGAGTATGAGCAAACGCAGAAAGCACAGTGCAATTTTTAGCCAAGGAAAATGCAGTCCACAGTTGAAAATATCCAAAGCTACATCAATTTCTGAGCTTCAACTCAGTAATGTGTGATCTTGACATCAAAGCATTAACCCAGCATTTGAGGAAATAGTATCATACTAAAATACCAAGTATCTAATAAATCAATTTTACCAAAATATATAAACATGTAGAAGGATAAGTGCATTTTAGTAGAAATACTTACATTAAAAAAAAATCTCTTAAAATCTTATGAGCCATTCAATGTATACACAACCCAAAAAGTGGCATAAGGCTATGATTACTGCTCAGGGTCCTAGCTGATATTACTGATCCAGAAACAGTATGTGTTTTTATGCCATGTGACTGTGGTACATGTGTGTGTATGTAGGTGGAAGATATATTCACACTATATAGTCCTGTACATCTACACGAGTGGCATGCACATTATGAAGGCGTTGCCTCTTGTTCTTGTCTTCCTTACCTCATTCGCTTTTGAATCCCTAGCAGTTATGGGGTTGGTTTAAGGTAAGGCCAAGGGTTGGAAATCATCCTGATTTTTCTTACCCACTCTGTAGATCTAGAAACAAGTCACATGCTGAGCTTGATCCACACATTCACATCATGAGCTCTCAAGTAACAAACACTCCCTCAACACCTCCACCTGGAAGCCCATGCAGAGGCACAACAGGATCCCCTACCTACCATAAATAGAACTCAATGCACTCACTTTTCAGGGGGATGATGATGTAGGTGCTTTTTCTGCCCCCTAACTTCTCGGTTAAATGTATTCTATGCTGATACCTCAAGTTATCCAAATGAGTTTTGTCTTGCAGTATTTTCTCCCAGTGCTTTGGAATAAAACTAAATTTCCTGAGACTTTAAGTATTGAAGATAAATACCAACATGATCTACCTGCATACTCAGGTTGTTTTTTAGAAATGCATCACTAAAATCCTTCGTATTTTCACAACACTGTTTTCCTTTGAGAATTTATTCCCCACATCCACCAAAGCGTAAGGAAAATTCTGAACTTCCTCCTTAAATGTTTCATTTTAAAATAAAGTACAGGTAGTTTCTTGGATAAATGTAATTTGAAAATGTATTTTTAAAAGAAAAGAGCTTTTATTTTCCATTTTACCTTTCATTTGGAAAGTATTAAGAACTTAGCATTTAGTAGGTGACATGAACCCTAGTGACTTCTGTCCACCCACGTGAAATGTCCGTCATCTGCAGTTGTATTAGGGCAATAACTAGTTTCTCAAAGGGAACTTGGCAATTATTAAATGTCTCAATGTAATAAGGGGGCTAAGCCATATCCAAAATATAGACATTTCTTTTAGAATTGTTGAGATACAAGGATTGCTGAGATTCCATACAGAATCATCTTTAACACTGTTATTCCATACTGGATCTTCTCTCTTGAAGCTTTATCTATATAACCTTTATCACTTTTAAATGGGTTAGAATAGCCATATAAATACAAATTTTCATTTACCTTCTTAAATACAGTTTTAAAGCATATATTAATCTTAGTGCACAAGGAACCTACATGAGGATTCTTTGTTTTCAAGCAAGAACCACAGAGATTAGTGAAGACTAGATCAAAAGATCTGTGCCTATTTCTATAGTCCTGGATACACTAAGATTTCAGGTCAGAGATGGATAATGAGATCAAGGCAGCTGCAAGGGTTCATGGGATTCCTCAATGTCCTTTTTCCATTTGTTTTCAACACAAACACAAGGCAGATGTTCCCATGTCATGCCCCTTAAAAGCTGAATTTGGCATTCACACTTATCATACTACAATTAGGAAGGGCTGTGGGTTGAAAACACTGAAGAGATGCTGAGGGCAGGAAGTCAATACCCACCTCGGCTAAAGAAGGAGAGCACAGAATAGCTTTACTGCCATAAAACTAAAAGTGGACTCCATCAGTGTGTCAGGATGGGCAAAATTAGGATTCTGTCCTACCTATCACTCAGAAGTAAACTTTTGATTCAGCACAAAAACATCTTTTTAAAAAGAAAAAAACTATTACATAAACTGAGTTACTTTAAGGGGATGATCTTAAGTATGTTATAAAACTCAGACCCCTTCATGGAAACCCTTCCCCAGACTGTTCATGCAGTGTTCTCTGTCTACAGCTTGACCTCACACATGTCCCCTACCCACCCCCACCCCCCCAAAGCATTACCTATACTCCAAAACATTTTTGGCTATCATTAAAGTCATACTGAGCTGTCTTTTAGGGATAAGAGTTCACAGTAATCAGATATTCCCTTTGTGTTCATTTTCTGATGAATAAAAAAACCAAAGTTTTACGATTCATGAAGCAACAATCCTGTGTTAAGTTGTATGGACACTGAAAATCACAAGCATTAAAGTAGGAACTGGAACCTCAATTGGTCATCATGCACTAGAGTCAGTCAATAAATGAAATAGGAAAACAAAATGTTCATAAGATCTGAGGTCCTTCACTTTGTTTTCACACTTTTATATCAATCAGTTTGCATTTTATCCTCTGTTGGACAATCAAATCAAGTGTCTCTTACAATTTCAGCAGTTTTAAATAGTAAATGTTAAAATAACTCATTTAGATCTAAAATTACTATAACTGAATCAAAGTAGTTAAAACACTAAATAATTTGAGGAGTAAGAGTTTGATTTATAGTACTGTCAGTTGGTCATTGATCTAAATATTGGAAGCGCATAAGTAAAGATTAAAAGAAAATACCTCTAAGACACTTAAGAAAATGCAATACAATAGATCATAAATTATGTGCAGAGATGGAGACTTATAGACATTTCCAGTATATACATCCATTTCAAACATTACCAAAGTGTAAACATAACTTAAGGTAATCATCATTCTGTTTCTGTTTCCATTCTTAAAATGAATACAGTGAAAATTCCAGTGTGATCCCGATCAGTTTCCCCTCAAAGATAAGCAAAATGACAAAAATTTACAATGGAAAGCATTAGTATTATCAGATTTTGACTAAGTTAGCCTTTTAACATTAGAAAAGATTGGCTGAATTGTGTAGTTCATTAGTAGTGGTTCCTTGTTTCTCATGATATTCATAAATAGCAAAGCACCACACATCTCAAAATATTAAAGAGTATCTAGTATGGCAGTTTCAGTATTATACCCCAAATGAAGACAGACAGAAAAATATACTAGTGACTTTGATACTTGTAAAACACAATGTTACTTTATATCAATGTTTCTGAGAGTTGATAAATGATTTATAACAAGTGACCAAAGGATTGAAGCTTAACTGACAATATGCTGGCACTGAAAGGGAAAGAGGCATGAGGGCAAGAAGAGGAGTAGACATTTCTGGCTGAGATAATTCCAGATTTCATATATTCAAATAAGCCAGAAAATAAAATAATGCCAAAAATGTAAGCTGTAGCTGTACAAGCAGGAGCCCTCTTAGAGCACGATCTTTAGAGGCCTCCCTGCCATAACTCTGTATGTAAGCTCCCAGTGGAAGGTTTGAACAGGGCTGGGAACAGAGACCCTACTTTAATAAAGGAAAAGAAGAAACACTTGTCCAAGAATTCAACTGGCTTTAACTCACACGTTGAAACTCGTCCTGTGGAAAATGGATGACCTCATTTTTGAGCCAGTACAGTAAAGAGAACCAGATAATGAGCATGAAAAGCAAGACAGTAACAGCAAAATACCCCCATCATTTGAAATTTCTCTAGATGAGTTCATTTTCTCCTCCTTCTGCCCTAATCTCTTGCACTTGAATTAGTTTGATGAAAATACTGAAATCCTAAATACTGCCTTTAAATACATATTAACTGCCTCCACTGCTAGGCTGTGTTCTTCGTCCTATCTTAAACAAAATTGAACTGTAAAGTGGAAATCTTCAAAGAATGGAAGAGAATGACTCACAAAAACCACTCAAAACATCTCCAAAATGTAACTGACAGCTCTCCTTTACAGGAACATTCTGTGTGCTCAATAAAATTGTTCAAATCTAAATTTTCTTTAACTGGCATTTCTATTTTTCTTAAAAGTACATTTGTTAAAACACTAACGGAGCCCACTTGGGAAATCTTGAGTAGAAAATATGGGACAAGTTCTTGATTGTGTTATAACCAGGCTGAAGACCAGCCAGAATGTTCCCCAGGAGGAAAAAAACCTGAAAATGCTGGTTTCCTTAAAAATCAATTTCCTGTTCAATTTGTTGGGGGGGGGGGTAGGAGAGTAGGGAAAGGAGCTGTGTTGTGTGTGTCATTGTTGCTGAAATACTGAACACACAGTGGTGACAAAGGAAACAATAGATCCCAATATCCCGTGGCTATTGGATGCGTGATTTTTTTCTTTCTTTGTTTGGCTGAATCTGGACTGTAAATGTTACCCTTAGAACTACTACCCACATGCAAACTCTTAAGGCTTTTGCTTCCTCTGGGGTTAACAAATAACTATCTTCGCCCCTTTCTTACTGATGACTAGCAAGCAGGACACTTTGCTTCTCCAGAGCAGGTCCTTATGTGGTAGAACACCTGCACTTTCATGTGGGCAAGTCCAGACATGGAGATGAGGAGGAACCTTTCCCACACACTGGAGCGGATTCCGTAGCTCAGATCTTATGGTGGAGTGGTGCCTGTGGCCAGGCAGAAACGTGCACTCACCCTGTTCAGTATCCCACACCACAAACTTAATGGTGCTCCCCTAACAAAGCTACGGGGGTGCTACTCCTGTTGGGCAAGGTCACACTGGTTCTCCAAGTGACAAAACCCAACCCAACACAAGATGTTGGTAAGAGAAGAGAGAAACACAACTACTTTGTATTTCTCATAAATGATAGCCTTGGTTTGATCAACCAAAGGTGGTCTGGGGTTACTTTAGTAGATGAACATTAAGAGGGTATTCTATTATTGCAGAAAATGCAGTTATTCAACACACAGGTCCCCAATCTGCCTAGAGCAGCATTCTCCCTGTCAGCAGTTTCTTCTTCATGCTTCGGAGGAGAGCAGGGCAGGAGGAGGTAGAGACAGCGCATCCCCACCCTGTCAGCGGCTTGCGCTACTGCTCACCAGCACCCTCCGCCGCAGTCGCCATCTTCTCTGTCTTTCGGGACTTTCTTTGCATTTGCTCTTGTTCCTTCCTCCTCAGCTTTTCTCTTTGTTTTTCCATTTTCTCTTGAGCCTTCCTAGCCTTCTCCAGAGACACCTTCATTTCCTTGAGTTTCTTTTTGACCACTGCTCGGTCTTGGGAAGATGTCATTCCAAGAGCCTGAGTAGGAAACACAACCAAGGTTGAAAATACACCACGTTTCTGCACGATGAGGTTTCTAGCACAGCATTTTCAGACTCTGACTAATTTGCCCACCAAGTGAGATGCCAACACCGAGGAGGAACTGGTTACATCTGCCAAAAACCTAAGTCTACAGACTTGGTGGGAGGAGGTGAAGACTTTGAAGTCCTCAGCATCCTAAACCTGATTAAGTAAACACATCCAAACTGGTAATTAATGAGTGAAAGGCAAAAGGGCCCCATCCTGCTTCTCTAACCTTTGGGCTGTAGACATTTATGAACAAAAATTATTGCTAAACTCATCAATATTTTCAAAAGACAGGAGCAGGCACCTGCTGCCTCAGAGGACTCTGAGAAGGGCAGGAGGACCTGAAGTGGCTTCCTTTCTACTAATATATTCATTTACAATGAGAACCAAGCAAGTCTTTGGGATCAGAATGTTCACGTCAGCAAGACTAGCCATTCTCTCCCTATATAGAGGAAGACAGATTATAATGAGGTGGTTGCTCTATGAGCTTAGAATTTAGAATAAGGGAGGTGGTTATGTATTTTAAATGTTCCATGACCTTCAGAATCAACAACAGGAAGCATCCATCTCCCCAACAGGGACAAGCTTGTCAATGGGGGCTTCATATTCACAGCTATTGATTGATCTCTAACCTTTTCAAGACTGTCAAGAGATACTCATCTGTCCATCAGCACAGTAGGAGGCTTGAGGAGGCTGGATGTATGTTGCCTTTGCCCTTTTCCACTGGGCTGGTGCCACCTCAGTCTCTGAGAGAGATGGACTAGATGGGTGGTGATGAGAGAGCAATGGAGGGGGAAGGAGACATGGCCTGCACGTATTTGGGGATAAAGTTGTGGGGAAAAACTCAACCCAGTTTTGGAGGAGTGGGGATGGAGGAGAAATGAATAAGAAGGGAAGACTCATGGATCTGGCTTTTAACTCTAATGTAGGCACCACATTGGCCATTACTGAAATTCACGCCACATAGGACATAGGCAGAGTTAGTTCATGGACTACATGTCGCTCATGGGAGGCAATAGAGTGTGTCCCCGGCTTTCCTACTCAGCAACCTACTGTTTGCTTTAGAACCTCTGACTTACTTGCCAAAACTTCATTTACTACTTTGAAATAATTCAACATACTTTCTGCTGACCTTTGATGGGAATTATGGCTCTGAAACACAGAATGCTCTTATCTAATGGAAACATTTCAAGTCAATGAGTAACAAAAATCATACCTGGCAACCTAACATAGACATACAATTCTTTACCTTAAGTTTATTTCCATCCAACTGCAGGAGCTGCTCTCCAGTGATGTTTTGAGCACTGAATTCAGATACATACTGCTCCAGGTTTAGGCTCATTAGCCAATTGGAGACCTGCTGCACGCTCCACTCCTGAACGGCCCGATTCTGACACTGACTGTGTTTGGGAGACTGTCCGTCATCAAGGATCTGAGGTAGGAATGTTACGTAGTGCTGTTAAAGGACCAAACGCTGTGGCTCGGCATGGCACATTATGTTAACCAAAGGAACTCCTTGCCTACAAGAGCCACCTTTAATATTCAATCAGAAGGTTAATGACTCTAGTGGTGTGTGTAGGAATAAGTATGTACACACACTAGCATGGTTAAATAGAAACATGCTTACCACCTACATGCTTTGAGATACTTGCAAGTTGAAAAATTCCCCCAACAAAACCAGCATTATTAATGTAGGTAGTTCCCTATTGAAAAATACACTCCAGTGTTGCAAGCTTTTACCTTAAGACACTTAGGATAGATTATCAGATACAGAAGACAAGTATTTCATTAATCTCCATATGCAATGCAATACACTGCATTTATGTTCTGCTAAGACATTAGAGGTGTTTAAAAATGTAGAGATATCTTTCATTTAGAAGGGAAGCGCATTAACCCTCAATCATTCTGAGGGCAAACTGCACAGGCATTATTTCATTTGAGCAGCGAGGAAGCCTGTGAAGAAGGTTGGGCTGGCAGTCTCCATTATTACTTTTCATGAAAAGGAAACTGAGATTCAGAAGGTTGGACCTGTCCAAGATCACATAGCTAGTAAGTAGCAGAGCCCAACAGTTGTGGTTTTCTCCAAATCTCAGGCTCTGCCCAATGCAGAATATTATTTTTAGTGATGCAAAGGGCAGTATGGTTCCTAGAACCACTAAGCTGAGAGGAGAGGAAGGTGATGAAAGGTCTTGGAGATAGAAGTCCCCTCAGGGATGTGTACAAGGAACACAGAAGAGGGGATGAGGTTAGTCAAGATGGAGATGAAGGGTGAAACAGAATGAACCGTCAAAGAAATGGCGATGGGAGATAAATCTGGCACTCTGAAGGTGGGTTTTAAGAGATCCTCTTGACTCAGGAATGTATCTTAAACTAATATACAGACAAGGGCAGAGAGTGCAACTATTTAACAAAATGATGTCCTCCACTACAGAGGAAAGAAGACTTGCATTGTTTGCTATTTTTAAAAAAATCATCTGCAAGGAGCCAAAAAAGCTCAAACAATACTGCATAAGCCATCATGCACATCCCACAGCCCACTGATAGCTCACCTCATCATCTATCATATCCAAACTCTGAGCGGGGGAGCAACAAAGGAATCAAATAGAAAAGTGTTAGGAGACACACCATATGCAACTCAAACTTTTAATACAATAAGCACAAGTTTGAAGAATACAAGCAGAAAAGTTTGAGCGGAAAAAAGGTTTATAAAACATATATATATATATTAGAAAGCAATAAGAACAAATATTTAGAGTGAAAACTTCTTTACTTGTGGTAAAGATTATTTTCTCTTCTACTTATATCTTGGAGCAGTAAGTCAGTCACCAATGAAATTCCCTGCACAAATTTACCTCTTGGGAATCTTAGCAATGTTAATTTGGCCTTGGGTTTCTCAGCCAGATATTCTTCCTGAGGTGAACAGTCCCTTTCTCCTCTCCACTACAGTTATTCCCAACTAGTGGTCACCTCCTACTCAAAGGAAATATCAGAATCTTGGGGAATGGGTCAGTTAGATGAGGGAGAAAGGGAATGGAGAATCTATTCACTCCTATGTAATTTCTGAGCCATTTACTATTTTTGCTCTCCAGAGCCCAGCCTCCCATGTCTACACCTGTGCTGAGAGTTATGCCATTTAAATCAAAGAAAGTTTGAGGAGGTCTGTAGTTATCTCAAAGAGGCTCGGAAACATTGATTTCATGTTGACACACACAGAGAGGGGAAAATCATGAAGATTTCATACTAAACATTAAACCATGGTCTCGATGATTTATATGCAAAATCTCCTCTAAAAATAGTTTCCAAGTAAGATGTGTATTCTGAGGTACCAGTGCTGTTAATTGTCAAGAGTATACCTCATCTGATGACAGCGCTAAAGACTGAGAGAGCCCTGGAGTTTTGGGTTCCGCTCCTAGGCCACTCAGATCTGCTGAGCTGGTACTGCTGGGACTGAAGTCATCATTGAAGGTAAAATTCTGTGAAAATAAATGAAGGTTAGTGTTAAGTGAGCAGAGTCAGGGAGTCATAGGAAGGAGAGTGAGCAAGTTCTAATTCTTTAAAAATAATCTTAGAAGTGATTCATGTTGGGCTTGGTGATGAGCTTCAATGGAGCAGTGGTGGAGAACACTGCACCTTCCATGGACAGGGAATTCTGGGGCTATTTCCATCAGATGTTTTGGAAAAATGATTCTTCATTCTCTCTTCAAGGGTACAGCATTCATTATCCTCTGAAACTACTCAGAGGAGTAACATTAATAAGCCTATTTTCTTTGACCCCAATCGTGATGAGAAACAGTGTTTAAGTAAAAATACAAGATGGTATGGAGAGCCTGAGTTATTAGGAACAGATGGCAATTCATATTAGGAAGGTAGCTGGAGCACCCCTGGGAAGGCTCGCTTGCTGTTGGCCGTGATAAATACTGTGAGAAATGGCAGATCCTCTCCTGGATGTAACCTTCAAGATGATGAGTTCGGGAAGAGGTCAGGGCCTGACAATGCACTAGGAGTTAAATGCTAAAATATAACTCTCACACAGCCTCAGCAGATTACTTAGGAGGCTGCAGCACGGTCAGTAACACATTTCCAAATTACCACATAGGTACATGGGAGTGTGTAAATAAAACTCAAGTTTTGGAAGCCAAAGTGGCTCCTTTGTGTCAAAACCTATTTTGTAATCATTCTAGAATGACTGACTTCCCAAGGACTCTAAGTATTCGACTGGTGCCATCTTGTTTCATATTCCATGTCAGTAGGAGTTGGACTATTAGTTTTCTGTTAGGTTTCTTTGTATTGAGTTTAGTTGGTTATCATGAATAAATAACATGCAGAGGCTAGAAAAATAAGAACTGAACAAACTCCAAAGTTTGCTAAAAGTTCAGAAGAAGAGACTCTGAATCTGAGCACGTGGAGTGAGGCTAGTAAAACATTTTAGCAGGAGGATATCTGACACAGTGATTAACCATTTGATATCAGCAGAGACACAAGCCCAAACCTAGTCAAAATCCTGTGAGCTGTTGACCTCAAGAAAAGAATTCAAGTTCATCACACATTACTGTTTGAGAAAGAAAAGTGAACACAGATAAAAGGAGACCCAAAACGTGATAAAGTTAGATAGTGAACTTTTGTATTTCAATAAAATGTTAGATTTGCAGCGTCATGCTGGAAATAACCATCATGCATTGAAAAGCAAATAACATCCATGCATATAATTCCCAATTCTCCTAAATTAAAGAGCTTTGGTGATAAAATTAAAACAGTTTTTCAACATGGAAGTTTGATTTAAAAAAGGAAATAAATAAGGGTGCTATGTCATCATTGGCTTGTTTTTAAAGTGCTCCACTTAGATGAATCGAACAAATATTCGGTACTAAATTTATTTGTTTTCTGGTAAGTCTTGACAAGCACAGCAAAATAGTTTTGTAATTTGATTTAAAGTAGAATGCTTGGTAAACAGATCTAACTTACTGTTCCAGGATTCAAATGCATCCTTCCCAGCATGCCTTAACTGTCAAACTGAGATTAAATAACAATATGTGAAGAGACAGGAAAATCAGAGTAATGCACAATCTAGAATGGAACAGTATTAAGGAAGGTGATGGTTAAATGAGGCTTTCTTTTCTCTCAGACAAGGAATACCATGCACTGTTTATTGCAGTGTTATCACATTGGCTTCTCAGATCCAGAGTAAACACACAGTTGAGAATGCGTTCCAAAGACTGAAGAAGAGTAAGGATTTGGGATTTTCCTGTTTCCTGTGTTTTCTACCTTGGACCCCTTTTTATCTGAAATTAGAGTCTCAGAAGAAGGCTGCAGGGGACTTGGAGGTGAAGGCAGGTTCCTGAAAGAATAGGATCCTTTTCGACTTTCATTAAACCACGAGAAAGGCATGCAAGGCGAGCGAGTGGAGGCCTGAGTTGGAGAAGATGGCTTCAGTTTCCAGTGGTCCAGCCTGCCTCTGAAGACCCTGTTTTATGAAAAGATTGCATGTGTTAGACTAAAAAAGGACACATGTAAGATTTATAGCACAAAATTCTGTAGGGAGTCTGACTATAGTTCCAAGTAATGGTTTGAGTTGTTTTACAAAACAGATAAAATAAGATTTACTTTTGCCTAGGATATTAATCTTAATAACTATATTTTCTACATCTAATTGGATCCAATAACAAGGATCAATACTTTTGTATTGTTAATGCCATGGTGAATTTTTATGAAATGAGCTAAGGGATGTAAATGGATGAATTAAAATCAGGGATGGGCAGGACATTTTAGGAACAATTAATAGGTTAATCACAGCATTCCCTTTATTTTGACCACATATGTGTGCCTCATTCCTGGGACACTGGCTCATAATCTGCATTTTTTTCTGTCTTCCCAAGAATCTGGGGCTTTATGAATTGAAATTTAAATAAATAATTTTGAAATTCAGGGTTCACAGTATGTTATGCAGAACACACCCTTTACTGGTTTTCATCATAACCTTACCACCTTTTCACAGGGAGAAACACCAGAACTGAAGTCCTAACACCTCAGTTCTGGGTCATTCAACTCCTGCATACATGGCCTTCGATCTTCTCTCAGCGTCTATTTCCTCATCTAAAAAAGTAACTTATGTACCTCATCTATGGTTAAAAATGAAACCAGATGGTATGTGTGAAAATGCTTTAAAGATATAAAATGAAAAAGATCTGTTTGTTGCTTAACATTCAAAGAATTCAAAGGCATTTAAAGAACATAGTGAACACAGACCTTTTTCTTCAATTTATGCAGACCCTTGTGTATCTACATTTAACTTTTAGTGAAAAGAAAAATAATTATCAGGCAGGAGGGGCAAGTGGCTTCTGTGCATCTTGGTTAAGATCACCCTTGATATGACCCAATGACATCTGATGCAATTTGGTAGCTGTTGACGTCACAACAATGGAGAGATTCCTTTGCAATTGGGAGAAACTGAGTATTGCAGCTAGATGATGTACATTCCCCAGTTACAATGAATTTTGTCTTCTTACATCTCAATTTAAATCTATTGAAGTAGTTGGCATTTCAACATTTTCTATAAATAGTACAACTCCTAACAATTTCTGTTCATTTCCAAAAATTGTTGTGAATGTCAACTGAGACAACAAATGTAAAAGCACCATGTAAACTTTCAAGCAATACACACATGTGCAGGGGTTATAAGAATGACAACTAAAGAGAATGAGGAAATTGGTGATGTTTTACTAAAATACCTTAATCAGTAGGTTGGTTGATAAAAATTGCTGGTCACACTAAAGATTGTAGAAAATCTGATGACTTTTAAGTGCATTTCCTTAAAAAAAAAAAAAAAACAAAACCTACAAGGATATTAAGGACATGAAGACCAACCAGAAATATGTCAGCTTTCAACTTCATCTTAAAGCTTGAACTAAAAAAGTTTTGTGCTCTTATAGCTTCCTACTTTTTAAACTTTTAATTGTACTTATTTTATGCTGAATTAATTCCCAGGCCTTAAGTTTTTGTTTCTTTTGGGATGTCTTTTCCTTATGTGCAAACTCCTCTTCTGGCTTGGAACAACCTGCTTTTTTCCCACAGGATCACCTGCACAAAACAGGGAGAGCTTATGTAGGGGGTTAATCTAGCCATGAGCTTGGTCCATTCTGTGACACATTTAGAGGGTCCTGTTAACTCAGATGTGATGTGCTGGACAACCAGAGAATCTACTCCTAAATCCATAAGCTCTTCTTATGTATGTGCAGTAAAAAATTCTGCGTTTGGCTTGGCCACCAATCCTTTATCCAGCCCTGCTGTCTGGCCTGTGCACACCCACCAATTCCACCAATGTCTGGATGGAACAGGCTCCTGTAGAGTGGCATTCTTCAAATACTTGGTGGCTTTTGGATATGCATACGCTTAGTGGCCTGCGAATTTTCAAGAGTGTCTTAAGATAAATATAAAGACTTGACACTCTTGATTTGTTTGACTTTGTAGGGTTCTCTGGGCCCAGTTGTTCGTGAGACATTTTCAGACATCACTTGAGGCCATGTATGGGCCTCAAAGTCCCCATCAAAAGATGGGGCTGGGATGATTTATAAAAGGAACTTAAGATAGCAAGGTAGCAGTGGCAGATTTTGTCTTCTGTAAAAAGCATTTTTTATTCCAGGTCATGTTTCTCACACATGTCAGGTTTCCCAAACAAGTCTGGTAAGAATCTTCTAGGGCAGTTGTTCAATACTGATTCCTGGGCACCAACACTGAATGAATTAGAATCTGGGGTAAGGGAGGAGAGGGGTTGACCTGGAAGCTCTATTTCAACACATGATTGAAGTGGCTCTTAGTGTTTTTAATATCATATTTATTAATGTTATTCCAAATGTAAATATGAGGCTTCTGGAGCAGAGTTTACTAACTCACAAAATTATGTGCTGGTTCCCCATGCCCTCATTTCCTCTTTTCAGAGTTATACAATGAGAACCAGATGTTGTCCTATGACTGGTTTACAATATAGGTAAAGAATCCAAAAAATATGAATCTGGATGGTTTTATAGAAGAGGAACAGTTATCCTCTCCTCCCTTTTGAGAATGGGAGAGAAATTTAATCTTTTTAATGTAAACACATGTAGCTTGGGAAGGATCTTTCACTCTTACCCTTTGGAAAGCAAATATATATCTCCAGGGGAAGCTAAGACTATCTCCAGCTTTATAACCCTGGGAATGTCTCCATGGAGCAGAGTCTCATCAGTCTCTTCCTACCCCTAGTCTCTGAAAATATAACCACACACCTCTGGGGAGGTAAACCTCTTTGCAGTTCTTGCTATCTATCCAGGCATAATTTAACTTCTAAGGCTTTTCTTTTAACTCAGTCCCATATTCCAATTTAAAAAAAAAAATGCTTGAAAACTCTAAGATACACATATGTTCTCTGTAGTCTCACTTTCTTATATCTGGGCATGTTTTACATAAACTGGACCTGATCATTATGTCCTCTTTAGGCTGTAAATTTCTGAATCAATTAATTAAAAAAAAAAGACTTTCAGCTATAATTCCAATAAAATGTTCAAGTGCTTAAACATATGGATAGCATTTGGAAATTTATAAACAACTTAAAGTAAGGATAGCACACCTACCTTATTTATTCCCAAGTGAACTGCCTTTGTAACAATGGTTTTAGAGTATCTGCCACTAAGTTTTTATTTTGGGATAGGCAGGAAATAAAACTATTAGAAATAAGTATATTTCTAATTTTTGTCATTCTAATGCCTTATTTGAAAAGGGCTTTTGGTAGTCCGACTCCTGTTCAGGCAACATTTCAAACAAAAACTAAAGACCACAGATCTAATTAAACTCTTTCATAAAATTCTCACTGCCAGGAAAACAGTCAATACTAATAATTCTATGTCAACTTGTATAGCCAGCACTTCATGAAGACAGATCCAGAGACCTCAGTATGAGTGTGAGTGTGATGAATGAGATCATGGAAACTCACTCTTGGGTTATATCCAGAGGCTTTCTTTCCTCATGTCACAGCCCAGGACAACAGAAAAAAAATGGAGGAACAGTCACGTAGAGAACGAGGACAGCCCACTTCTAAGGAAAAGCCACTGCCTTGACAGCTGCAAACTGTCAGATCCAAACAGGAAACAGCATTTCCCTGTTCCCCAGGAGCCTTCGCTGTCTCCCCAGTGATGATGTATCCTGCCTCCTTTATTTATCTGTATGTACCTGACTCTGAAAGTCCAAGAACTGATGTAAGCCCTGTGTTTCTTAGCATCCTTAAAGAACTAGACAGGGGATGCTCCACTCACTTTGGCCTAGAACACAATACAATCATTTTTAAAAAGCACAGTCTTGTGAAATTGTAGACCTGTCAGCTTACTGGACATGCTTCCTACAATAAACATCAGTTTCCTCCTGGGCTAATGAAATCTTGGGTCTACAAAAGGCACAGAGGAAGCTCAGTAGCAGTTACTCGATCACTGACTGTTGGGACCCGGGAGCATGTGTTCTTGGGGAAAAAGTTCTGAGCCATACCACACCCACCGATGTGCTGAAACAGCAACAGGCCCCTCATTGACCAGGCACAGAAAGAGGATGTCTCCTCACGTGGCTTTCAAGCTGGAACACTGAACTCAGCACAAGGGAGCAGTTTCCTGCTATTGCAACTGCTGGCACCTCCTGACACCTCTAAGATGCTGACTGTCACCCATGCATTGTCCTCACCCATCCCCTCCATGCTCCAGATTGCATACGTAAAACACGCTGCGCCAAGACCTCTGTGACAGGCCACATGGTCCCAGTTTTCACTAACATGCCTTTTCCTATTTTTCCTTAAATCTCCTACCATCCTCCTGCAGATTCTGCTTGAATTGGCTGGTCCGTGGCCACTGACTACTCTTATGGTTTGATTCATTTTGTGGGAATAGTTTCATTAGTTGGGAATAACATAAAATTCTTCCTTCTCATTTTCCTGCCACATTTCTTTTACTCTCCCACCTAATCTTCTCATATTAACTTTTATTTTTGACACTACCACATTTTATGGACTAGGGTGCATAAACTCCATGTAGATTCTCAGTAGCTACCTTGAAAAATCAAGATTGGTAGAAAGGAATTCTTTGTTTGTATATTATTTATTTATTTATTTTTACATCATTCTTCATGTTGTGTGTGTGTGTGTGTGTGTGTTTTTTTTATCTTGGTTGTAATCCCCATGGATTTCCCACCACCAATTCACCCATGTGCCATCACTATAGTCCTGTGCACTCTTCTTACCCCAGTTTTGATACCACTTCAGTCCTCACCCCCTTAAAATCTCTCTGGTTTATAGTTGTTCATTGCTATTCATTTTTACTTTATTATAATTGCTGTTTTTTCCCCCCGATCCGTTATGCTCCTGCTATGAGTGAAACACCTGATATTTTTCTTTTTCTTTATGGCTTGTTTCACTAAGCATAATCCCTTCCAGTGCCATCCATGTTACTGCAAAAG